GTGACTGGATGGAGCACCTGCTTTATAAAATGCCACGAAATGAAAGGTGTGTGTAATAGAGTCTTAGCACATAGTAGATGTTCAATAACCTTGTTTTATACATTTTTTTTTGAGATAAGAATACATAGTTGGGAAAAAAGAGTATTCCAGTTAGCCTAATCATTTGTTGACGACACAAATTTATTTCTGGGATTTAGACTAAAAAAACGAGGCCTTTAAAAATAAAAGCAATACTATTTCATCTGAGATAAATTTTTCTTTCTTTCTTATGAACAGTGGATCCAAACTTCTACAGCAAAAACCTGCTTCTTTTAGGAAAGACATATTTGAAGCTACACAATAAAAAGCTTGCTGCTTTCTGGCTGCTGAAAGCCAAGGACTACCCAGCACACACAGAGGAGGATAAAAAGGTAATGTCTCCAGTGAAGTAAGGCAGATAGGTTTCCATTGAGGCACTCTTATACATAAAAGTAAATTAAGAACTTCTTTATAAACGTAAGTTGTCTAAATGCATATTGTTGAAAACAGTAGTGTTCATTTCAAACATGAATTATTGACATTTATGCTAATTTCTGTACAGTGTATGTTTAGTTACTATCAACAGATATGAATTCCTTGTTGCAATAATACCAAGTTATTCCTGTTTGACATGTGTAGCCGATCAAATGAGATTTCTAAAATAAATGGCAAGGGATGGGTGAGTGATTCTGGTATGTGGAAGAGTCTCTGCTAAGAAATTTTATTCTTACTATGTGCTATCCTAATTTTTGGAAACTCTTCGAAATTGCGGTTTATCTTATGAACTTAAACTTCACACGCTCTACTCTATTTATAAATAACATGTATTTTCCCATTTTAGATACAGACAGAAGCTGCTCAATTGCTTACAGGTATCACTGGCAAGAATTGAGAATTTTTCAGAAAAGAAAGAAAACACATGAAATCTAGGAAACACTGCCTTTTCATCAAATTATAAGTATGTTTACCATTACTGTTCTGTGGCTGTTTTTGTGTGTCTGTGTTTTTTTTAATGTTGTGACCATTTAACAAATACACAAAATTCTAGGTTTCTTCACAAATAACAAAAGAAATAATTGCTATGGGAGGGGAGGGGTGTCTCCATGGCTCATGGGAAGGCTACCATGTGTCTGGGACACTGGCAGTTCGAGGTGGTGTGACATTTGAGGACTGATGATGGGATGGAGGGAAGCAGCAAGGAAAGCCCATGGGGAGGGGCACCTGGGAGTGCATTTTCAAGTCGGACTAGTTCCCAGTTGAAATCTTGCAGGGAAGGGGCATTGAAAGTTAGGAGGTTGGGAATTTAGGGTTCTAGGTGTAAAGCAGTTAAATGATGTTATCTGGGAGCCAGGCTCCATCAGGAGAGAACAAGAAATGAGTGATCTCTGTGTGTGACATGACTTTGTCTCACAAGTGGGTTGATCTGGGACTTGACAGAGCCCAAGTTCTGTTCTTTAGTGGGGTGAAAGGAACCCAGAAATTGTTGGAGAATTGGAATGTAAGATGTTTAAATAGATAGGCAGATGATGCCATCTTGCAAAGTCTGAAACTTGTGATAAAGGGGGATCTTGAATGTGAGAATGTGTGTGTACAAGACTCCCTATAGGGTTAGGGAGGTGTGGTATAGCAATGATGGCGTGGGTAGGAGGGATATGATGTGGTATTTCTTATGCGTGTTCTCAGACACAAAGAACAAAGCAGTAGCTCTGCCCTTCTCTGTGTATATGGTTACGCATAGATTCTGCTTCCTTGTGTTTAATAGTACGTATATTTTTGAACCATGAAATTCACTGCAGATGACATATTTCATCCCTAGATACTTCGTCACCTCAGAATACAGCCCTTCTTCACCAATCCATTATCACAACTAGAAACCCAATTCCTTATTTTCATCTGATACCCAGTCCTTTAAATTTCCTCAAATGTCCCAAAATGTCTTACGCTTTTAAAAACCAGGATGCAAGCATTGTACGTTGCATTTGATTGTCCACCTTCATTTTGTAAAATCTAAAGCACTCCCCCATCTCAGCAGAGGCCAGTTGTCTTAGATTGTCTCCTGTTCAGTGGGCCTTACAGAACCGAATTTGAGAACCACTGGTCCCCCTGACTTTCAAGGACCCCCAGTTAATTATGTTGGATCTTCTGTGCCCAACTTGACATTTATCACTTTCATTTAGTGACTTTGAATGCTATTTTTCTGGAGATGTGAATTTTTATGTGTTGGATTGGCAGGTAATCAAATGGGAGGTGAGACGTTTGGGTAGAATACTCTCTCCCTGAGTTATTGGTGTGTGCGTGAAGAAGGGAAAGAGAAACATCAGTTTGTTGTTCCACTTATTTATGTATTAATTGGTTGATCCCTGCTTGTGCCCTGACTGGGGATTGAACCTTCAAACTTGGCATATTGGGACAATGCTCTAACCAGCTGAGCTACCCACCCAGGGTTAAAAATGTGTTCGTTTGTTTTTTAAAAAACCAATACAGGGAGGTCCTGTGTGTCCTGCTTTGCTGCTCAGTAGTGATGTGTAACTATAGCACAGTCAGACCCTATTAGATTGATTACTGTGAAGTGCTTTTACTTGTGTATGCACGCAGTTTTGTCACCTGAGGAGACTTTTGTTTCTGTTGTAGAACTCTTCGTCATCACCAAGCTCTCCAGTGCTGTCCCTTTAGTCATACCCACCTCCCCATCCTGATCTGTCCTCTATAATTTTGTCATTTCAGGAGAGTTACATAAATGGAATCATACAGTATCTGACATTTTGAGATCCATCTAAGTTCAGTCAATAGTTCGTTTCTCCGTATTGTTAACTATTTCATTGTGTGGATGTTCCTGTTCATTTAACCTGAATCCATTGAAGGCAGTTAAGCCATGGGAGTTTTTGGTGCTCTGATCATTAGGTACATCTCATGTCTCTGGGATAGTTGCTCAAGAGTGCAGCTGTTGGGCCTGTTACAGAGTTGGTGTCATCTTCCTGTGACTGAGGAGCAGGACATGCACCTTCCAGGGTTCTGGTTCTGTGCACTTTCTCAGTTTCTGCCTTTTGACTCCCAGGAGTATGGTGCCCTCATGTCTTCCTTTGGATTAGACCTGCTACCTGCTTCTGGGACTTTGGGAACCCAGTCTGTCCTCCTCCCTATGCAGCCCCTACCTCTGGGCTCCTGCCCCTATGCTGACTGCTTTTTTGAGACACTTATTTCCCTTCATATGTGTGTGCATATGTTTGTATTCTGTTTTGCAAACATTACAGACTGGCTGGGTAGATACAAAGACCTTCTTGTAGACATGTTTCCTCTTTTGAGGCTGAGACAGAAGTCTGAACTTGCAAATTGGCTACTATCCTGTAATAACCCAGAAGCTCTCAATTAACTTCTTGTTGGCAGTTTTCCCAACTGAGTGTTTAATTATGGACTTTGTAAAACTGACTTTCCTCAGACTCTACAACAAAGAAAACGCAAAAAACCAGTTTGTGGAGTCATGAAGATTAAGGAGTGAAGCATGAGTATCAGTATGTACTTTAAACACCATGGTCATCTGATTGTGTTCTCCTTTGTGGAAATCAGGGAGAGAAAATTTGGAATTTAGTACTAGATGCTATTTTTGGACTTTTTCTGTTGGTGGAACATTATTTTGGTGGCATTTTTTGCTTTTGTATAATGCTCACTCTAGGCATTGTTTTGGCCTACGTGCCTAAGCATCACTGATTACTTTGGCAAGGCCCATGGGGTTCATATCACAAATGTCCTGCATTCAGCATTGAACTGCATCCTGTGACTAGAGAGTGTACAGGAACCTTCAGAGGAACCTCAAGAAGGTGAAAGGCCCTCTGATGAGGTCACCTAGGGATGTGATCTGTCCAGGGAAAAAGCGTAGAACACAAGTTTGGCTTTTTAACAGCAGATTCAGAAGTGTGTGTGTGTGTGTGTGTTGGGGGGTGAGTTAAAACATCAGTGTTGCTGACACATGCCATCCTGTCTGCTTCTGAGGGTAAGAAGAGCTGGATAGGTGGGCAAGCCAAGGCTGGCAACTAATCTGGTATATGAAGGTGTTGTGCCTGTGATCGGTTTGCTTGTGCCGGTGCTGCATGTCGCTGAGCCTCCCTTAGGAACTTTCTTTGCTGGGACCAATGAGGACAGGGGATCCTACCTGCAGGTCTGCATTTCTGTCATCATTATGGAAGGGGGAAGGCCCTGCTGAACTATCACAGAAAGCTGATCTGGGTTATGATGGCTCATTTCTTTCTTTCCCTGAAGTGAGGAGGGGACCAGCCCCATGAAAGCCTCCTGTCTTCAGTTATCGCAAACTTATCCATCTGGGGAACCTCTCTGTGTCTGACACTGAACTCTTTTCAGGTATAACTTAAGTAGCAATTTAAAGACCGGTTATCACCCTCTACCGCCTTGTAGCATACACTCTGTCATATATGTTGTTTATTTTTTTTAATTCTTTAGGCTTGAAAATAACCAGTGTCAGTAGTTAGGATTTGGGAAGGGAGTGTATTCAACCAACTGGATCACTGCCTTTATGGCATCTTTACTGTGAGTTTTGAAAAAAATGCAGAACAGAATCTAATATATAAAAAAAAATAAAATTTTGGCAAAACTCTTTAGGGAAATTAGATTGAATACTAATTTTTGTATTCAGCAGTGAAGTATGTTAACATTCTAAGGTGTCACGTCTGTGGTTATAGAAAAATTTTAAAGAAATCTCTAATGCATATTGAAATGATACAAATTTAAATTTCTGTATTAATCAGGAAGTCCTGTTTGCTAAAGCAGCATTAATATCATTCACATCAGTTTTTAATTTGCTATACATCTTTCTAGTACAGCAAATGCCTTTGATAACGAAAAACAATTAAGTGTTATTTACTTCGGACTGAAATAATCGATGTGGAAAGGGGGGAAAGACCAGAAGATTGTTTATATGCATATTTAATTCAGACACACAGAATTTTCATGAATAGAAAATTTTAGACTCATTTGTTTGAGTTCAAATGCTTAGGAACTCTTCAGTCCATCTGGTTTAATGAACTAATAAAACTTTGAACACAAACAAAAATGGAAAAGTTCACATTACCTTTTTTATGTCCCTAAGTATCAAATTGCATCAATTTATTATGAATTAAATTTAAAGACTATCACATTTAAAAACAAAAGTACAAGATGTGCCTGATTATCTTTTAATCCCACAAACACCCAGTATCCTGAAGGAACATGTAAACAAAACTCTATGCTTCTCAGTGGAATCCTTCTCATCTCTAGACGAGACTGTATGGTGCTGGGTCTGGTTAGTACATGACTTTCACATAAGGATGCTTTCTTTTCATTCATTGCTTTAGTGGTGCAGGAGAGAAGGGAAATTTTCAACTATTGTATTTATTTAAACTAAATCAACAGGTTTGAGCACCTGTCTTCAGCAGCATTAGTTAAGAAACTCAAACTCAAATTTGGCCTGGGCATCAGTCCCTTCCTGAACAGACGCACACACCACATGGGATATGTCACGTGAGGGGCAGAACGGAGGTGAAGCCAGCCAGACTGCTTCTGCAGGGGCACTGCTGTGGCGATGCAGTTGAGGAGCTCTATAAAACTAGAGCCACTTCCTGGCACGCTAAGGTAGATACTTATTTTTAATAAAGTCTCTTGCTTCAGAATTTAAGGGTGATCTTTTCCCTGGTCAGCCAGTTTAAGGGAATAATAAATAAAGTAGAAAAGGATGAGTTCTTTTGCATACTTCTGTGTAAGAACAGAAAACATTTATACTTTGAGACGTTCAGAAAATTCACTGTACAGAATGAACAGCTTATTTACACTTATCTGTGCAGTTTTTCTTGGCTGCTGTATGTGAACACCAAAGTTCCCCAAGATGAGAAGCCTCATTTATTCTTGTCCAAATCCCTCTGTTTCTTCTATTGCAAAAAGAAGTTTTTCCTTCAGTTGCTCGTAACTCTTGTATGGTGGCAGATCCAAGCGATTAAAACTGAACAAAATCAGATGTGTATTCAATAAAATGAAGGTTTCTAGTACGATATTTTTAAAGCACATTTCAATAAGTAGAGAGAGATGTTACTATACTACTTAACTGTTATTAATGTATACAAATTTCTTACAGTAGTCTGTTCAGACTTAAGACCTAGTCCTAAGAATATTTTAACATTTCTTGGAGAAAATGGTCCATCATTTCAATCCCTGTCTCTCCCTCTTTTGGATTTACTCATCAAAACTCAGACCCTGAATGAATTCAACCTTGTCCTTTCTCATTTCATTTACTTTGACAGGGGAAATCCCACAAGTAGGTAAGTTGGTGTCTTCTTCCAGCAGGCAGTCCCATCCTGTCTGTAGCAGTGAGCCTTGCCTTTCTGACAACTCTCAAGTCTTTCTGAAGTTTCTCCTTTCTTCAACCCCTGCCAGTGACCTCACCTTACACTTTGAGGGAAAAAAAAACAAAGCAGCAGTTGATTACTGTCTTCCTTTTACAAAATCTAAAATCTGTCTATAGTAACAACCAACTTTTCTCCCTGGCATTACAGGAAAGGCCAGTTCCTTTCAGTTGTCCTTGGAGATTCTCTGTTATGTACTCCCTGCCTGCGTGGCAACTCCTCCTCTACTGGCTTCACTAATTTAGCCTAGGCTGGTGTGCAAATGTCCGGTCACAGGAACCCTTTCACACTTGAAAGTACTGAGAACCCAAAACAGCTTTTGTTAATGTGAATTTTAACTACCCATGTTAGAAGTTAAAACTGAGAAATTTCAAAAATAACAACATTTTGAGACAAAAATAGTAATTCTCATATTTCCATAAATCTTTTCACTGTCTGGACTGACACCTATATATTTGCTCTGCAGCACTTTATGGTCTTGGTTAGTAAATGTACACCTCTAGCCACACATGTGCAGTAGGAACTAGAGATGGACTCTTAGTCACTTTTTCAGATAATTGTGGATACTACTCTTTGACACCATGCTAGATTTGACCAGGTTACATGTAATACAAGTTCTGAAATCCTATCAAAGAACTTTTTGTGCTGTTATGTAAAATCCATTGGATTGTGTTGCCCTCTGAACCGCCTTTTTTGACTTGTGCATGGTTTTGGGACATGCATTGGTCACTTGCAAATATTGGCTCACCAATTTACAATTTTCAATTGTGACACATTTAATAATGTAATAGGGAAAAAAAATCACATTTGTCAGTAACACTGACAATCTCACCAGAAGTCTTGAGAGGCTGTCAAGCTCGTGGTGTGTGTATGGACACACACCACACATACATAAACATTTTCCAAAATTCTAATCTTTGCTCAAAATCTCCACTGCCCACAAATGCTGAGTTGTTTTCCTTCAAGTGACAGGCTTCACTACTTTCAAGAAAATATTTGTCAAATACCCAAGCCTGAAAAAACCATTTGTTAGTCATTCTTTCAAGTAACGGGAGTGTTCCATAAAAAAAGCCCACTAGGTCAACCTTCAACTTAAGCAGCTGCCCAAAGGCCTCCCCTCACAACAAGCACCATCATCAGACACATGCCTGGGTATCAGACGAACAAAGTCAGTTCTCACAGCCTCATGAAGTGCAGTCCACAGTGAACCTAGGTTTGTTTTGTTTTTTCACTGTCAACAGCACATGAGGTATAGAAGGACCTGGTGAAGGGGTGGCAGGCAGTTTGCCACCAGAGTGCAGATGTGAATACCATAAAAAGGCAAAGTGTGGCTTAGCATGAACATGATTCTTGACCTGAGAGAAACACACATCAGGCCACCACCTGCTGGCAACACTGACAGTTCTGTACCCTGGTCGTTGTCCCTGATTTCTTCTTTCCTCTGGCCACTGGTTTTCCTTCCATCTCATCACCTGTTACTTAAAACACTTCAGAGGCTTCCACTTGCCCTTACAGTGAAATCCACATTCCTCACAGTAGCTTGAGGCCCTGCACAGTTAACCTGTAAAGACTGCTTACATTTCCAGAGCCCTTCTCTCTCTTCCCTGACACACTGTTCCACTCAAACCAGTCATTTCTTGCAATTTCTCACTTTCAGGGTCTTTGAAAACAACCATGTAAAAAGAATGTCTCTCTCATATCTCCATAGCAGGCTCTTCATCAAACTCCAACACGGCCCTTTCTGAGGGTTCCCTTACCACCGGGCCAGCTGTGTCTCCCACGGCCCAGCTTCATTTCCTTCTACAGACTTAGCACTGTCATTTGTGTGCCCTTTCTTGAGGGGTGCAGATTCACAGCTGATACTCTAAATATTGGTTCAGTCAGGGCTACACTTCCCACACATTCAGATTAACAAGCTGGAACCATTTGGTGCTCAGTTACAGGACACTGCATTAATCAATCTGTTCTCAAAACTGAAATGTGGCTACTCCAATGAATTAGCAGTTTTATTGGGTCTTAATATTTAGTAAAAGAAACAAAACACTGGCTTTCACCTTCCACTTAGGACTCTTCAACTTACCATGTGTGGCTCCTTGGTAACCAGGTGTCTTTCCCAACTTTTTCAATGCAAAATTTTTGAGGCCCATTACTTCCTAAACCAGGAAAATAAGACAAAATTTATCTGATCCTTCAAACTTTAGTTATATAACATGTCACATAGATAACACAGAGTGAACTACAGTGTCACTTGCTTCTGCTCAGAACAACTCCTTCTCGCTGCAGGGACCCAGCAGCAAACATCACATCAGTGCAAAGGCCAGTATCTACAGAAGCCTGCTCCCCCATTACCCCAAGAGGTAGAGGACCAGGAATGAACCTTAGGCCAGTAACTACAGTGACCCACAGAGGCGGCACTCACCCATGAGCTCAGCGAAGCCTCCAAGAGGCAGGCGGCAGGTCCCCGTGACAAACTGTAGTAGACGCATTCTCACCTCATTATCTGTCTCTTTCACAAACTGTAACAAGGTCAAAGTTAATGTAAAATAAATGCTAAATTATCTTCAGTAATGAAAATAGAAGACACAAAGTAGTCTTAAATTTCTTCCAGAAAATTAAGAATGAACTTGAAGACTTAAACACTGAAGCTGGTTCAAGAAACATGATAAAAAATGGTTGCAGCATTTACCATTTATTAGGGCCAGCTAGCTAGCTCTGTGCTAAGAACTCTACAAAGGAAGTGAAAGCTTAGAGACATCACCACTGGTCCAAGGAACCAGGACAGGTGTTAACAGCTGTCACTTCTGGAGGGTCCTGCCAGCACAGTACCATAAGCCTCTTGGGAGTGCAGCCCTTACAATACTGTGAGATGGGTCCTACATTAGCATCCCCATTACATGTAAGGAGACAAGGCTTAGAGAGGCTAAACTGTGTGTCCTCAAGTGGCTAATAGGTGGCAAAACTAACCTCTGAACGCAGATCGGGCTGAGCTCTGAACCACTGCCCTTTCCCTTCAGAGACCGCCCCCACCCCTCAAATGACCACTTCCTCCCACTCAACACCAGTTCTCAACTTTGCTCTTCACACTTGAAAACCCAAAGTATGCATTCTTACACAAGTAATCTAGTTCACTGACTGTTGCTTTTCAAACGGACACAAATGGGTTATATGCTGTAACGCTGATCTGAATTGGCCTGAGTATCTTCAGAGAACGCAGGGATACTCTGAGAGTAGACATGTACCTTACAGGTGCAACTAAACTTACAGAAGGACAAGTCATCTGCTAATCCAACTAGAACATTTTCCATGTACAATGCTGCTGCTGACATACTCCATCAGATACAGGAAACAGGTATGAGCAGGTCTGGCATACACCTCACCACTGTTCTAAAAGCAACCTAATCTGTGTGGATTTATACGGCCTAAGTGTCAGTTCCTCAGGTTTAGACACAGGTCCAAATGAACGGGCTGGGAAAGAATCTAAAGCGACGATGGCAGACCTCTGCACTGAGGACTGAAGTCACAGGTAGTAAGGGCAGCTTGTGTGTCTTTGCCTCCAGTTGCTCAGCTCTCCACTTCTCATAGCTAGCTCCTCTGCACTCAGATTCTTCTTTGAACCAGCAGACAATGTCATAGACACACCTTCCTTCTCCCTTAATGCTCCATTGAAACCATTCTCCAATGTCTTTGTTAATTTCTATTTAAGAAGAGTGGTTGCAGGGCATAGTATTGCAGTATGGATATATTATATTTACTCAGTCCCCTACTGATACCCATCAGGCTTTTCATGTCTCTGTCAGTATACCAAAATGCTGCACTAAATACTCTGGTATGTGCCGTTCTGCATGTCAGAATACATCTCTAAGATAAACACTTGGCACATACCCTTACATAAAGATACAACTTTTGGAAAATCTTTCTCTAGTAATAAAAATACCCAGACCGACTTTGCACCCGAGACAGAAGCCGTAAACCAGCTCAGTCACTATGTGCTCAGGTGAGCCTCAGTTACTAGGTTTATGTGAAGACTGTCTGTCCCCTGGCCTAGAGATTTAAAGTTTTCAAATGAACACACAAAACAGTCTATCACTGAGACCAGTACGAAGCACTTGGATGCCCAAAGGCCACCTGATATCAGCTTTAGTCAAAACAAAGGAAAGGGAAAGGAGAGTGTGGACATCACCCTATGGATTATTCTATTTCTCTAGCATATTGTCACCTTCAGGTGAATTGTCTGCTTAGACTTTCTCATAAAAGCATACTTCCTCCCTTCACTTCCAGAATTAAGTAGAATTTGTAGAGTACTTTGATATTGCTAGAAAAAAAATATTGTTACTACCATTAATCAAAGAATCTGTCGTTCATTCTTTCATCTGGAAACAGTCAAAACAAGCAATTTTTAAACATGTATTCACACTATTCATTTTTTTAAAAAATCCTCACCTGAGGATACGTTTAATGATTGTAGAAGAGAGGAAGGGCGAGAGGAAGGGAGGAAGAAAGGGGGAGAGAGAAACACTGATCATCTGCCTCCTGTAAGCGCTCCAGCCAGAGATTGAACCCACAACGCTGTATAAGTGCTCTGACTGGGTATTGAACACCCTCCCCCCCCCCCCCCCCCCCCCGCCTTCGCTCGTACAACATGTTGGTGTATGGGATGACGCTCCAACCAACTGAACAACGCAGCCACAGCCCCATACTTTTTGATTTGGAATTCAAAGACTAAACCACCATGTCCAAAAGTCTCACTTTGATCTCAATAATAAAAGTAAATAGAGAAAAACTATTTTAAATTACTGCTATATTAGAAAATATCTTAAGTACTTTGTCTAAAAAAAATAAAATCAAATACCTGCCAAAACCAAATGATCTGCTTGCTGTTTCTTGTGTAATGCCGATACACAGTATTTCTCTGCCAGTCGGCCAGGTCCACCTCCTGCATGCCACAGAGCATAACCTAGGGGAAACACAGTCTTTGTCACGGTCAGGACTTGGAGATTAGAACTATGACTCCATGTGCATGACAGACAGTGGTCACAGTAAGCAAATCCAGAACAGTTATGGCTATTTATCAGGTAGGATTCTTCAGTACCTTATCTATGTTTTCTAAACTCAGAAAACACAGAGTATTCTTCAAGAAGACTTTAGCTGTGGGCACCTGCACCGTTTCATACCACTGGGAGCATTTCATTATGTGACCATATAACACTTTATATACATTCACTTGGTGGTGGACATTTAGGTTACTTCAGATTTTGGGCTTTGAGGTATAAAGTTGTGATGAACATTATGGAAAAGTCTGTGTGTGGACATATATTTCCTTTCACTTGGGTAAATAACCTAATAATGGAACTGCCAAGACACTAGGGTGAGGTTATGCCTAACATTTCAGGAAACTAAATGGTCCCAAAATGGACGTCATTGGGCTTTCATTTGTACTTTTCAGGAACTAAGGAGCGCCTTCCAGGCTTTACCTGCTGTCATGGTATCCTTGTGCAAAACAAGCCTTTGTCAATATCTGATGCCATGTGCAGGCTGTCTTTTAAGTAAATGCTTTGAAGAGGTTTGTTTTGATGAAGTCCAATTTAGCCTTTCTCTGTGGTTTATTGTTTTTTTGTGTTCTAAGAAACTAATGCTTACACTAAGATTTTGCTCCTATTTTTCTTTTTAGCTTTCATATTTATGTTTGACTTATTTTAAATTAATCTTTGTTTATGGGCTGAGGCAAGAGTTGAGGGTAATTTTCTTCCACATGGATATCCTGGTGATCCAACATCATTTGTTTAGAAGACTTTCCTTTTCCCCACTGAAACATATTATCCTTTTTTTTGTTAAACATCAAATGACAATTACATGTGGGTCTATCTCTGGACTTTCCAGTGTTCCACTAATCTGTTTGTCTCTCCTTTGACAAAGACTGTATTATCTTAATCACCATGGCTAACAATTCTTGAAAGCAGGTATTGAAGAGCCTCCAAGTTTGTCCTTTTTCAAAATTGTTTTGGCTCATCTAGAGTTTTTATATTTCCTAGTGATTTTTGAATCAGCCTATCAGTTTTGCTGGGATGCTGACTGGGGTTGCGTTGAATATACAGATTAATTTGGAGAGAGCTGACTTTTTTACAATACTGAGTCCTTTGACATATAACCTGATATACCTCTTCACTTTTTCAAGTCACCCTTAATTTTCCTGAGCAATGTTTGAGTTTTTAGGATAGAGGCCTTACATGTCTTTGGTTAAAGTAGTTCATTTTTTTAATGCTCCAGTAAATGAGATTTCTAATTGTTCATTGCTAGTATATAGAAGATAAAAACTGACATAAAATTACTGACCTTGTACCCTACAGTCTTGTTAAATTCATGCCATTTCAAATAGTTTTTGGTAGGTTCCTTGAGATTTCCTAAGTTGACAACCAATGATGTGAAACTTTCTCTTTGTTGATGACTTTTATCAGGCTGAAAAAGCTCCCTTCTAGTTCTAGTATGGTCAGAGTTTTTATAAAGAATAACTGTTATATCTTAAAGTTTAGAAGATTTTTAACTTATAAAAAAGGGCATGATTATGACTAGATATTACTTTGAGTAATGATAAGAATACCCATTACTGAGTATTATACATGGGTAAGAGAGACAATGAAGAGGAAAAGAAAGAACAGACTAGGAGTAAAGATCAAAACAAAGCAAAACAAACCAAAACAGAATGGGTATTTTCTCATGGCTCTGCACTATGAGCAAAGGGCAAGCCAGTACCCAATAGGACATTAGTCTCATGTACTGCAAACAGCCCACTGGGTCCCAGGCTGTACATGAGAACATGCGAAGACCATCAAGGTCCATGGACCAGCACAGGCCCGTTGTGGCCTTCTGGACCTCTGCTGTAGCCACCACCCAACATCCATTCTCCAGGGAGAGCTTTCATTGGTGCCACAGAACATTTTAGGTTTATGCATTTTGAGGATCCAAAATAGTTTAATTTTCTTCAGATTCTTAGTGAAGTCTGTGATTTAGAAAATTAACACTACCCTGAAAAATATCTTCCATTCTTTCTTCTAAATGTTTCTGCTAATTTGTATAAGCAAGTTTTTAGGAAAGATGTAAACCAGGGCTAGAGATTCAACATGACATTTGGGCTCAGAGTCCTGACTTTCACATATTTCCCATATCAGTCAGAGTTTCCAGCAAGCTAAGTTCTACATAGAAATACTACTGTATAAAACATAAAATGCTAATTTTCATATGCAAGTTTGATTATATGGACAAACCAAGTTTCTTAGTAAAGGATCCAAACTGGCTAAAGTTCAAACACTGCACCTACAGGGCACTGAGAGGAAATGCCAAGGACAGTCCAGGTGCCCACATGGCAAGAAAAGACTTCATGAATTCACTGACTAATCTTTAGGAAAACACAAATCAAAACAGTGAGGGGTCATCTCATGCCATCTAGGATGGTTATAACGCAAAAAAAAAAGTGAAAATGTGTACAAATGTGAACCCCTGTACACTCTGGTGGGAATGGAAAACAGTGGGGCAGTTCCCCAAAAAAATGCAAGTTTACTTTATGATCCAGCAATCCTACTCCTTGAAACATACCCAAAGAGCTGAAAGCAGGGTATCAGCCATGTTCAGAGCAGCATCATTCACAATAACCAAGAGGTGGAGGCACCCAAATATCAATTGCATGATGAATGGATAAAGAACACATGGTCTATACATAATGGAATATGATTCAAGCTTAAAAAAGAAATTCTGACACCTGCTACAAGACAGATGAACCATGAGGACACTGCTCAGTGAAATAAGCTGGTCACAGTAAGACAGATACTGTGTGAGTCCACTTATGTGAAATAACAGGTGTCAGAGACAGGAAGTAGGTAGATGGTGACAGGCTAGGGGAGTAGGAAATACAGAGAATCTGTTTAATGGGTAGAATTTGAGTTTTTCAAGATCAGAAGTTCTGGAAATCTGTTGCCTAAGAATGTGAACATACTTAACATTACTGAACTGTACATTTAAAAATGGTTAAAATGGTGAATCTCAGTGTATGTTGTTCACACTCAAAAAATTCCAATAAACTTTTTTTTTTTTTAAACAGGTCTAAATACAGTTAAGATCACTAGGAAGTCATGACTTTAAAATCTGATCTTTGGGGCATCTCATTACTCAGCCAAGATATCAGAAAGTTCCTCTAAATGAGTAATAAGGTTACATTCACTGTCTAGGACCTGACAGTGGGCCTGACTGATGGTTCTGTACCCATGATGTCATCACAGTTCAAAGAACGTAAGCGCCTCACCCAGCAGTGGGATTTAACATCCCCTAAACATCGATGAGTGAGAAGATTTCTAGATTGCGCCACGATGTAAAACCATGTGGACATTCTTCTGTGAAAGCACCAAACAGCCCTGCCCCTACTCCTTATAATACCTAATTAAAGAGCCTCACCTCCAATTCTTTTTCATCAAAGTACTGCAGCCACTGAAGAGGAACAACTTCATTGAAACCATCCAGGAAAGCTTTGGTCTGCTCTTGCACTCCTCGAGAAAAACGCCATTCTGTCATTAAACTGAAAATATAGCATTTTAAAGTAGGTCATTTGTATGTGGTAAAAGGCTTAGGTAAAAATCCAACTTCTAATAGTCCATTTTTTCTAAATCTTCCATCTACATACTTCACATACATGTGTAGTTTTTGAGTTAACATGCATCTACACGAGGGAATCACTGCAGCACATGTGCAGCTCTCAAGATGCTTTTCAAACTGAAGAACACACAAGAGGGTCCCTGTCAGTGAGTCTGCACCATAAGCAGAAAGGGCAGCAAGAGCCATCAGACGGACTCCCCTTCTTCCTGACTCATAGCCTTCTACGGGGAAGTAACAGTATGTCACAGGGACATCAGGGATGCTAAGCTGTCTGTGGGCCTTGAGATGGGACAGGTTATGGTCACTGTTAATGTATTGTAGCTCAATGCTGATTTACTGGAGAAAAATGAGGGTTTCCTAACATTTAGAGGATAAGCCATTTAAGATGGAAACAAAATGTTCAGAGGAGTCATGAGGCAGCTGTAGAGGAGGGAGGCCCCTGTGCAGGAGCAGCCTCCCAGTGTCCCCAGCTTCTAACCCCTCCCCTGTGTGGAGGAGGAAGGTAGCTGACTTGGTTCACACACAACCTTTCATCCTTGCTGTCTCCAAAACTTCCCTTCTTCAGTGACCAAGCCCTCCATTCTGTCCAGCTGCCAACCCTGGGGCTCAGACTGCTCTTTTCCAAATGCCCCTTTCAGTCCAGTACCCCTTCCCTCCCCACCACCACTCATTAGAAGGCAACCCTAGCTCACAGTCCCCACCTTCTCACTTCCCATTCACTCAAGTTTTAAACCACAGTAGTTTGGCTTTCAACATCTCCTCCCACAGGAAGAAACAACTGCCTTCACAAATGTTACCCAGGAACTAGAAGGGCCCAGTCCTGTCCCCCTCTTCCCATGCTTATGTGACATGGTACCTGTGACAGTGACATGAGAATTCCCAGTTCTCAGAGCCCTTTCCACCCAGCAGCACCACAAGCCTACTGGTTCTGCCTACTCCTTCGTCTCTGTCCTATGAGTGAGTGTCACTGAGATCTTTGCCTTCTCATCTCTTCTAGCCATTCAACTATCTAAAGATGATTCCATTAATTACTGGTTTCAACTATCATAGAAAAGCCAATAATTCTTAAATCCCCAAATCATGCTTTTCTCCTGAAATGAAGACATTTGTAATTCATCTCTCCTTGGACATCCTGCCAGCACATCCACTGTCAATCAGTCTAGAAACTGCAATCATTACTACTTCATTTACTACTATTTCCCCACCATGTGTAAGTAATGACTTGCTCTGAACCATTCCATTCCTGCAATGTCCTCAAAAACCCTTCATTTCTATGTGTTGGTCCTCTTTCAGGTGTCTAAATCCCTCCCGCCTTCTAGATTCCTGGACCACTTCCTACCCAGGATTCCTCCCCTTTCACCCCCTTCCCTTCGATGACCCCCCAGTTCATCCTCCACAGAGACCACAACTAGCCTTCCAAAACCATTTCTGATTATCCCATCTTGTTAGGTTTTGGGAAAATACAGGTTTCCTAGAAATAATGCAGTTTCTTCAGACTAAGGCACAATGCAGCTACCACTCAAGGCCCTTCTCTGGCCACTATTTCTTGCTATTTGCCATATCCCTGGAATATCTCCATTCCTCTGCTCCTGCTGGTTTCTGCCTCCCAAAGAGCTGTCTATCCAGTCCTATTTGTGCACTAAAAACTAAGTATCACAGCTAAAAAATAAGTATTATCACATTAATTTTAAAGAACAAGGTTAAAAATCAAGATCAAACTCTGTTACTCTATCAGAGACTGAAACAAAATCCACCAAAAATTTTTATATTCAAGATTAGATATGAACTCTTTTATAGTAGGCACTAGACAGAAAAGATTTTTTCAAGTAGTGGTTACCTTAATGCAAAATATAGAATGCAAAGAAGCAAATTATGTAAGTACTGTACAAACATTTAACTGCTTCTGATATTTGAAAACATGGGTAGCATTTTTTAAATGTTTAGGTTGTGCTATTTAATAATCATTGGATTGGACTTTGGGGAAAACTTCAAGTTTAACAAATATAAAAGCCCAGTGCCTTACTCGCTACCTTTGTGTATAAACTTTCTTTAGAATGTTCCCCTAATAGGAGTGAAAAATGTCCCAAGTGCTCCAAAATGTGTAGAGGAACAGGCATGAGTGATTCCCCACTCAGCGAAAATGAGGGCTAAGTGAGTGCGGGACACTAATGACCATAACACCTGCAGGTTAAGAAGAAAGAAAGCAACACAGCCATGTCTATTCAACAGTCTTTAACTAAGAACTCCCCTTTTGGGAAATCTTCCCCCACGAGAGCAGAGGCAGCAGCATGACTGGATTTATGTTTATGGTTTTCTGCTGCCTGGTCTGTAGTGGCCCAAGATGGTTACAACCTGATGATGCCGAGTAATATGGAATGGACATACCATGACCAGCTATTAGGAAACGAGTTAATCTAGCTCTCATGACCTGCAAAAAGCTAAGAGTAATTTATATTATTACATGATCCCATTTTGGAAACAATTACAGAAAGCAAACATGGAGAATCTGAAAGGAGAAAAGGATAACACTGAGAATCCAAGTCTAGAAGGAGGGGTGAAGACGTGGTAGGAGAAATGAGAAATCTGATTGTGACACATTACCTGTAACATGGGTCATATAGTAGTCCAGGAGCCTGTGGGGCCAATCTAGTCTGTAATCTGCTTTTTGTACAGCACATGAGCTAAGAACAGTCTTTCCTGGAAAAGTTTGCATCTACCTGGCTCACAAATGGAAATGATTTCTAAAGTTCAGATATAACTTTAACAGAACACTGAGGTCATGGGAGCAGACTCCTCAGAGAAACAGGCTGAATGAAGGACCATGGACAGGGATCCACATTTAGGAAGAGGAGAGAGATATGGAGGGCTGCATCACTGAAAGATAAAGTGAAGAAACGGTAGGTTTTAGGATCATGGAACTCAAGAGGACAGTTTGAAAATGGCGTGGGAACACCTATTAAGACAGGAAGTGGGAGGGCAGGTGAGATGCCCCAGGAGATGAACCTTGCTGGTCGGTTGGAGCCAGGGTCCATGTCACATTGCCCCATCACTTGATCAACTCATCTGGAAGGAGGCAGCTGCAGGCTCTGCACCAGCCTCTGAGCATCAAGGGCAGTGATGTATGACTTGACACAGGTAGGGAACACACAAGCCAGTGGCTGTGGAGAGTGAAGATCAGTGTACACACTCTTATTTGAAGAACACAGAAGGACAGAGGAAAGTTACTGTAGTACATGTGAACTTTAGAGTATGGTAAAGCATGTGCATAGGTTGAATAGAGAGAAAATGATGGAAAGGTAAATGAGAGGGAATGAATGTGGAGTCATTCCAGAGGAGCAGAGAGGGAGGAAGCTGGGGTGCAGACAGGGGTTAGTGCCAACATGTTCTGGGAGTTCTGGAAACCGCACCCAATGTACTCGTCCTTGTTGTCCTCAGTCACCAGGATATTGGCACCTCCCAGCTTCAGGTCATGGGAGGTAACTTTTCCCAAAATCTCCATGTCAACAGAAAAGTACATTTCTAAGCCACATTCTTCAATGTTGTTGTCTCTGGGTGATAAAAATATATACACACTAGTTAACAAGACATGTAAGTTGGTTGCAAGAAAATGCCTTATTGAAAGATAAATCTTCAAACCTTATCCAGATAAGGGAATTATAAAATTCAGTATCAATGGATTCCAAATCCTTAATCGTCAGTTTTTTACTTAGCATACGCTTGTAGAATGGTAAAGAGAACCCAGTATCAATAAACTTTCCATGGAAAAGTGCCTGCCAAGAAAAACAAAAAAATGATTTAAAAATTTACAAAATAATCTTCTCATTGAGAGCACAATGGTAACAGAGAACTCATGACGCTTTACCTATTTAACTGAGGTCAAACATTCAGTTACATCACGTCCAATCGATAAGTAAGAGGGTGATAAAGGAACTTTATCAACCTTACTCTAATGTACTTTATAAAGTCAATTAACCTAACTGGATGCAGAAATAGAGAAAGGGCATCAGGCCTCCTTGACTCCTGGCTTTCACAACTGTGCCCAGGTGGTGTTCAGGGCTCCCTAGGCACACTATGCCTTCACTTCTCTGGCAACAGCCAGCACAAGGAGCCCAGTTCTGTTGGTCCCCAATCTCTATTGTGCTGTGTCCTCTAAAGTGCACAATCCATCACTAGCAAAAGCCCCCCAAACCTCAACTGTATCTCTTTAGAAAAACAGTGTCTCACCCAGGCCAGGTGGCTCAGTTGGAGTATTGTCCTGTACACCAAAAGGTTACAGGTTCAATCCCCAGTCAGGGTGCACACCTATGTTGTAGGTTTGACTCCTGGTAAGGGCGCAGTATACAAGAGGCAACCGATCAATGTTTCTCTCTCACACTGATATCTCTCTCCCTCTCTCTCTCTCTCTCTCTCTCTCTGTCTCTTCTCTCCATCCTCCATCAATAAACCTATCCTTGGGTGAGAATAAAAAAAATACAGGAAAAAAACCCCCACCATTGTCTTGCTTTAACAAAAGTCCAGAGTTTCTCTGTGAACCTTGCTTCTCCTCAAGTCCTTCAAGGGGTGTTATTTCTCTTTGTCTCCTTGTCACCAGGCCTAGAAGTGGGCGGGGATGCTCCTCCCTACGGATCCCTCCTTCCCAGCTGCCCATGACATGTGGTGGGCACCCCTGGCTGTCTGGGTTCCTCTCCATCTGTTCAGTGTCATAATCTCTACACACCCACCAGGTCCTAAAGGTTTTAATGCCCATGTGATAAGCCCTTTCTGAGCCTGGCTTTTAGTCCTTCCAGTGACTCTAGACTTCAACCTACTGAAACACATTCAGCACCTGCCAGGGGTGCTGTGATCAGCAGTACCCACAATTCCTCTGTCACCTCAGGTACATTATCTAACTCCATCCACTTCAGTGCCTGTGGTAGTAACAGCAGGGATTTCTGATCCATGGGACTTAATCCATGAACCTGCTGCCTTTTCACTCTCAGCCCTGCACTGTTACATCTCCGTGAGCTCCCTCTAGATTCCATATCTTCAAAATCCCAAGGATACAAAATCCAATTCTCAGCCTCCAGCCTGTGGCAGGATGCTGGAACATGCCAGAATGGGTGCACAACCACATGCCTGGTTCCTGCTATAGCCCTAAGTGCAGCACAGAGCAACATGGTACTGATGTCCCACTGTGCCCACACTTCTTTACTTGGCTGGTGGTAGGCTCTGCTCACCTAGGAAACAGCCATCGGTGGACTGCCATGGTCCCCACAGGTGCTCATGACCACCTTACTACTACTCTGAGCTCACACTGAGCTCTTCCTGGTTCTCATCCTCCAGGCCTCATCACACTGGCCTTGATCAGTTCCTTCCTGTCTCACTCCATCATCATCATCATCATCATCAGATGAATGTGTGAGTCCTTCCCATTCTCAATCCCACATCAATTCTAGGCACTGCCCAGTTTCTCTCTGGCTCTTTACAGCAAGCTTCTTTATATCCTTCTGGCTTTTACTCCTGACTCTGACCTGGTCACACCAAATGGTCACTGCTCAGACCTCCTCATGCTCAGACTTTCAGCACCGACTCAGGTGACAATTCTTCCTTCTTCCTTCCTTCATTTGCAGGGAATCATTCTTACAGGATTCTCTGCTCCTCGTCCTCAGCTCTTTTGCTAGTTCCTTCTCATCTCATCTCTTTGATATAAATGTTCTTGAGCTTCCTGTTTGCCCATACTTGTTCCATGACTGATCACACAGCCTCACCTAGCTACCCCCTTATTACCAGACTGGTCTGCTGGCTACTTATTCCCCACCTGGATGTCTACAGGCGTCTGAAACCTAACAAACCAAATCCAAATTCTTGCTACCCAAGACCTCAAATTTGCTCTTGCCACAACCCTACCACCTTACGAGATGGGACTGCAAACTGACACAAAGGCCTGCATTTGATTCTGTCTCACACCTTGCATCTATAAACAGTCTGAGGAGACTGTCAGCTCAAACACAGAATAGCAAACCACTTCCTACCACCTCCTTGCTGCACCACTCTGGCCCCTCACCTTCACTGCCACACATGTCCTATTTCTCCTGGGGCCTCGTCTACCCCCACTATAGTCTCTTTTCTACACAGCAAGAAAGTCAGCGCAGTAAAATCAAGATGAGACCATGTTCCTTGGATCCTGTTGCTTCTGTGCTCACCATCCTTCAGGGAATGCCTGAGAAGGATCCCTCAGTACCCATCAGCCTGGGCTCTTAAAACACCTGTACCTGCTCTACTGTAGCCAGGCCATTAGAGATCAAAATTGCAGCCCCAGCATCCCTGGTCTTGCTATTCCTTCTGGCCTAAACATTGTTCTACAAGACATTTGCATGGCAATGAACAGATGTGACCAGGGACAACACATGCCATTTCACTACTTTTGAAATAAGTGAAGTTTAAATGGAAAAATGAATAATGGCATCAAGCTTACCATGGCAATGAAGCGACCGATGAAGCAGAAATAGGAAAGGTGGTCTGGATTGATGGTGGATGCAGGATTGATCTGCAGACAGTAGTTGTTTTTGCCAGCGTACTCGAACAAGCAATACATGGGATTCAGGACTTCATGTGAGAGCAAGAAAAACCATTCTCTAGAGACAATAAGGTAAGATCATTTCTTAGCATTCACGTGCACATGGATTTAAAACCACATTAAATATACAAAGTTCCGACCAGTCCTGCACTGCTAAATATAAAGCTGGCACCACCACAGCTAATACTCTCACTTCTCTGCAGACTTGTGTGTATCCTCTCAGCTCCAACTCCACCTTGGCAGGGCCCACCTTTTCCTTCAAGTCCTGCTTAGAGCCAGCCCACTTTGTGCAGTTTTATGAAGTTATTTCCAGCATCCTATGTGTACCAGTAACTGATAAAACCTCAGAATGGTATTCATTTTTCTGCAGATGATGAGCCCCATCTATGAGACTATAAGCTCCTCAAAAGAGCGAGCCACATTTTTATATATTTTTATAACCTTAACTCTTACAGGTACTGTAGGACAATATACATTAAGTTCTAATAAATATTTGCTGGTGATATTGAGATACACAGCACTGCTGCTGTGGAACACTTTCAGTTTTACTGCCAATGCATTAAAAATGTAAAGTTAAAACGGCAAAATCTTTAAATGTGATAAATATTCTTTAATTATTACTATTTTCCCTCATTTATAAAAGTCTAATAAGTGAAATACAACCAGATAAAAGAATAATAATTTATATGACAAAATAAGCTAAATTTGCAAAAGGCTCCTAAACAACAATTTCTTCTAAAGCAGGGATCTAAACCTGGATGCTTGCAGTGATGGCTGAGTGGGAACAAGCGGCCTTAATTCACTACTTACCCACAATGCCCTGCTTTCTACTATATCCCTTATCAAAGTAATATAGGTTTTAAAGAAAAATGATTTCTGGGCATATAATCACAGTCCTCAGATGACAGGGCAGTGATGGGGACAGGAGTAAAAGACTGTCCACTAGCACCTGGGGGGCAGGGGACGTCAGCTCCTCTGATTCAGTCAACTGATACCATGTGAGAAGGTGCCCATGCGGGTCTAATGTTTTTTTAAAGAAGCCAGAAAACTTGATTCTTTAGCATAGCCTAGGAATTTTCTTTAATTTTGTCAAGTAATTTTTTAAAATTTAAATCAAAATGGGGGTCACCCCAATGCAAGCTAGATCCAGGCTGGCAGGCTGTTTACAAATGTTTTTCTAAAGATTTTAAAACATAACCTCAGAAATACCTGAATGGTAGAGAAAGAAGTCCTCAAACAAAAGCAACTGAGAAATGCTAGGTACCAATTCCTAAAACAAAATATAGTCTCAACATAGTAGCTGAACCAGGTGGACAGGTGAAGTAAGGCATGCCCCACGGAAGAAGACTTAACAGATCTGTTGAGAATGAGCTCAAATACAAAAACTAGGAACGAAGTTTCTGGTTGCTGCAGGTCACTGTCAGCAAAAGCAGCCCAGAGAAAACTGAATCCACACAGGAGGGTTGTTACATGGCATCTGACCTGTACTGACAGCAGGGAAGAGGGAAAAGTTCTAACTAGTGAGAGGTAGAGAGTCACATTTAGCACTCTCTTCACATCCTCAATAACTAAGGAGATACAGAAGTTGAAAAAAAAATCATGAGACAGCAGATGAGCTAGGAGAGCCTAGAGAAGAAAATGAAGGAAATCACGCAGAAGCAGGAGAAGGCAGGCAGTACTGTGAACACAGACATGAGGACAGGTGTGAGAAAAACCAAAACAAAATGGAAAAGCACAGAGACAGATATCAGAGAAAAAATGACAGGCATGTAAAGCTGATTCCATGTACCAATGACTGATGTTACTGAAGAAAATGGAACATGCAGAACAGAAAAAATGTTCTAAGACATAAGAGAAGAAAATTTCCCTTAAATTAAAAAAGTCCTTAATATGTTCCTAAAAAAAAATGATATAAAGCAATCAACAATGAAATCAATGAATTTCAAGGATAAGGACTGTGCGGGTCCCCGGAGAAAACTGTTTCCTACAAGGGCTGGGCTCCCACTGGCAGCACTCACATTCACACTAGAGGATGGGAGGTAATGTCCACAGAATCCTTGTGCGAGAAATCTACATCTGGTCAAGCTGCCATTTATATACAAAAGCAACAGAAAACACATTCTGAAAACTGCAGGAATGTATCACCCTTGTAAATTCTGAATTCCTGAATAAACCAAAACCAACACATGAATCAAAACAAAGAATTTGGGAATAAGAAAATTATGGTATGAAGGAACTGACTATATACAGTAAAACCATTAAAATATAAAACTAAGCTAAAATAGTTGGGGTAAATAAGGGTTCAGACCAGAATGAATGTTAAGTCAGACACTGTAAAAATAATACCATATTTCATTTCTAAGATGTACCTTTCTTTTTAATGTCTGAGCATTTCTGAAATTGAGATATATCATGATAGATGTACTATAAACATTTATTACGCTAGGTAGTGTTTCTTTTCTTAAAAAAACCTCCTTAATGATGTTTTGGATGAGAAAATATGCTAATACAACCAAAGCTAATAATCCTACTTGCACACTCCCGCCAGCAGTGCCCAGGTCCCACATCTCTTTTTGCCTGCTGCAATAAAGCTGTGACTTTATAATTCTGTATACTTATGAAATATGAGTTCAAAAAGAGAGTTGTTCCTATGCAAAGCAAGTTTAATTCTTTGGAAGGAGTTAATGGAAGTGTTTTACTAAAAAAACAAATTATTGTCAAAGTACATGTGGGCAAAGCAATTCAAGAAAAAAAAAAACAAAACAAAAGGATTTCCCAATCATTGCTTCATAAGTGTCTACTGTTAACAATATATTGAGTGAATGTGGAAAACTTTATTCTCAAAAGGACTCAGGCTTGATGAACACCACAAACATAAAACCAACACACACTGTTACAATAGCAAAAAATAAGAAACAACTTTATGCATGCTGATCCATATATTGTATCTCCATATAATGGAATGTTGTGCAGCCATTAAATAAAAAGAATATTAGCTCTATATATAATATGGAGAGATGTCCACATTTTATAAAGTAAAAAACCAAGTTGTTATATTGTACACATTGTATGATCAATTCTGTTTAAAAAACCAGCAAACGCATATATATCATAAACAGACATAAATTTATATATGTGCAGAGAAAACATATGATAACCAAGAGTAATAATAGTGGTTATCTACAGAACTGTGTAAATATTTTTTGTTTTTTAAAGTAATCCTGGATTGCTATTAAAAACATATCTTCTCAAGAATACATACATTGCAGAAAAGAAGATACACTATTTAAAAGCAGATGTTTTACTTTACCTTGCTAAACCACCATAATCAAGTCCTTCTTCTCCTCTAAATATTACATATAATCGCCTTCTCAAGTCATAGGGTTTTAATGCCATAATCTAATTAAAAACAAAAACATGGACATTTAAATACAAATATACTTCTTCCCAAAACAATTCAACTTAAATTTCATCTGTATTTTCAAAATTACACATTTCCTTATGTCATACAACAATCCCTTTAACTCTAAAGATCAATCAATTTGTTCCAAAAAGTGGTCAAGGTGTGTCTTATGCTAGCTACTTAGCTTTCTCTTACTCTCACGTCATCTCTTCTTGAACTAAATGGTGGCTCTACTTTGGGTCAGTGGCAGGAGAGAACAGTCTGACACAGAAAAGCTTTAAGGTTAGAAAATAATCCCTCCCCTTTCACTCCCCAAATTTTACCAAAATCTTGTAAAAGGTGACTTGTAACTTTTTATGGCTAGCAACACTAAATGAGAAGCAGAAGATCTTGTTCTTGGCCCTGCTTAAACATATATTCCATTTCTCAGCAGGAAAGGAACTTGGTTGTAGAAATGAATTATTTATAACATAATGCATTTATACATAAGTGTATCTTAAAACAATACCTTCAACCAACTTCATAATCCTTAATGGTTTATATTAAGGTAACTAGTAAAGAGACTATTTTTGGATAACAATGAATCCCCCATGCATGTCACAACACAAGCCGAGGTTGGCATGCGTGGTCAGAGCCCTGGCACAGGTTGGCAAAGGCTTGTTCTGCATAGCATATAGACCATGATTCTCCCAGGCAAAGCACAGAGCACAACAAAGCCCCCATGAATCTGGATGTACACTCACCAAAATAAAGCTCAGACAGAGCTTGGAACAGGTGGAACCATTTGACACTTACTTTGCTAAGAGTTTACTAACTCAAACAGAAAGAAAAGTCTGTGTAATAGCTATAGTAAGTGTCCTGTCCCCCTCTCAAAAGCTGGTCACGTAAGGCAGGATGAGAGCATCCTGACTTCAGAGTGCTCCATTCCTTTCAGGCCAGTGTGTGTGTTGTCCCTGTGCACCTGTATATACAGGGCCTTCTGAGTTCATGGGAGTGCTTTGCAGGGATTGAAATGACTTACATGAATTATTCTCCAACTCATCACCATAAAAAGAACTGTCAAGATTTTGATTTTTTTAATCTTTAAATGTTCTGCATAAGACTAAGGCAAATAAATGTACTACACTTGTTTATCTGCTTACCAGGTATTCGCTGACCACCTGCTATGTGCTGGGCTGTTCCAGGCACAACCACAGTCAACAAGACAGTCTGTGCTCCCATGGAGTGACAGCCCACTCCATCAAATGGTGCTAAGTGTCAGCAGAAAGAATCAAATACAAAAAAATAGCTTCGGGAAGGGGGCTGGAAGGGAGTTGAGCGGGGACTACCAGCTTAAATAGTGAGCTCACACAGGTCTCGCTCAGAGCATGACATTTACACAGAAATCAGCAGGAGGGTTATTAAACAAATATTCACATGGCTACAGTATCTATACCTGTTTAATTTTAATTTGGTAGTATTACCAAGATTTTTTGTTTAAGTTAAAAAGTCTTAGCAAAATAAGTGTCAAAATGTGTCACTTTGTCCCAGAAGTTGTTTAAGCTTTAGCTTAGCAATCTTGGTCATGGTAGAATGACTTTGTCTTGGCCTCAGCACCTCTGCCTGTAAAATGGAAGGATGTTGTAGGAATGAATTAAATGACAGTGCCAAGCAGATGGCAATCCCCCCAGGCCCAGTGGGGTTTATTACAACTGTTACTATAATGGGCATTTAGTAAGGTAAGTCACTGTGACAGCTGCATTCTGAGTGGTTAAAATTTCTAAAGCCCTCACTATCCCTCACAATGAGACAGGTCATGCTGGGTTATTTTGACAAAATTCTTCTCACCTGCTGAAAGGAATCTTCGAACAATGTCTGCCGGGACACGTTTATCTTTACGTGACTGGGTAGTGCATTGGACTAAAAACAAAAATAACATTGTCATATAAGTAAGCTTAGTAGACACACTGTGTAACAATACAACTAAATACTGTGACGTGAGACTCATTTAGCACTGCAGTACCTGGCATAGGTAACGGAAGTGAGCAAGCTTCCACCTAAAGCTGCGTTCGTAAGCAATCTGTGGACCACCTTTAGTTCTAAGAGAAACAGAACAAGCAGGTATTAATTCACGGTAAAGTCACATCTTTAACATTCAGTATAACATGAGTGTCCCAGAGGCCTATAATGACCATAGGACAGTTATTTGCTGGGAGACAGTGAGGGAGTATCTGCTGACCAGCAGGGGCTTGAGCAATGACGACACATGACACCTGCACATGTATGAAGGCTTTATTGTGGACTCTGCTTTGTAAAAAAAGTTAAGTGAAGTACCAACGTCCAGTGCAGACCATTTTCAAAGAGCCCCTCTGATAACTCTTAAATCTAAGGGACAGAGGACAGGTAGAAGGGACATGGAGGCAATTCTACATCTTAACCCTTAGCTGAAACTAAAACAAATTTAAGCACAGCAAGATGGGGCCCCAGAGACAGGTGGCTCAGTGGGTCAGTGAGGGAAGGAGCCAAGCTGGTGGCATGTAGGACAGGTTTTCCAAACTGGGCTCAATTCCCAGGGAAGGGCCTGGGTCTCTGCCTTGTGAGTAAGCCTGAGACATGAGCACAGAGAGCTTTCACTTCCCAAGGGGACACTTCGGAATGGAGGGAGAATGTTCTCATGAAGCCAGGTTCAAGTGCATTCATCAACAAATGTTATGAAATGTGTGCAATCAACTGGCCTTCTCCTGGACAGTGAAAATGTTCTTTGTTGAGATGAGATAGAAGGACTGTTTTTGTGAAGTTTAAGTAGAAGCAAAGGAGCCAGAAAAGAAACCACATGAATAAGTAAACTGTACATGGCATGTGTTTCTAAAAGGGGGACATGTCTCCCTGTTCCTCAAAAAGAGAGTAAGTTGTGTGGAAAGAACAGGAGGGGAGCAGGAGAGTCTCTCACTGCTGAGAAGGGTAAACAGAGTAGGGCTCACAAAGCAACACCAGCATGAAAACACAGAGGCACAGCCACAGAGACATGTGGGGGAAGGGCAGGTGAAGCAGATGGAGCAGCAGGTGTTGCAGGGACAGCTGGGTGGCCAGTGATGCTGAAGCAGAATGACGAGGAGACAAGAACCAGGAGTCAGGTACTGAGGGGCCTTGTAAGGACTTTGCTTTTTACTCTGACCAAGATGGAAACCACTGAATGCTTCTGTTTAAAGGAATGACTTTTTACTTAGATACTTTGTTAAACAGTCTAGCCGCTATAAGGAGAACCGCAGTGGCGTGCGGTTGGCATTGGAAGGAGCAGGATAGGCAGCACTGTCGGTGATACTTGAGTGACCCTGTTGGAGCAGCAGTTGGAGCACAGGGAGCTACAGTTCCTGATAGACTGAGGGTTAGTTAAGAAACAAAGAAGGCTCAGGATGGATTCCGAGACTTCAGACGAAGTATACCCAAGAGTGGGGTGGCCATCAGCTAAGATGGAAATATCTCTGGTGGTACAAGTGTTATGGAAATTGTTCAGAAGAGATGATAAGCAAAGATAACAAGGAAGCAGCTGAATAATAGAGGAAGCAAAATTTGCAGTGAAAGATTAAAGTGTGTCATCAGCATATCGATGCTTTTGAAAAGCATGACAGTGGATAAGAGTCACCTAGAGAATGAGTGCAGGAAGCTGAGGAGGGAGCTCTGGGACTTTCCTTCGATGTTGAGAGGCTGAAGAGTAAGGAGGACTCAGAAAACAGAGGAGCAGATAAGACCAGGAAGACACAGAGGAAACATGGACATTCCGACCCCATCTACTTCTGCCTAGAGAGAGGTGTACTGTGTCACATGCTCTGAGAAGTCCATGAGACAGGATGCAAGACAACCCCAGACTGACAGTGTGGACAGTACTGGTGCCCTTAACAAATTTAGGGGCAGGAGAGTGTTCCTGAGTTGGTCTAGACTGAAATCAGAAACAGCAACACAGATACAACTCCTTCAGGTTCTTTTCCTGGAAAGATCAATGATAAAAACAAATTTTTACTGAAAAGATTTATAAGGTGAAGAGTTATGGATTTTGTTTTTATTTTTAACCTAGAAGAAGTAAAAGCTGATGAGAGTAGTTTAGTGGAGAAAGAAAAACTGATGACGTAGCACAGGAAGATGATCATAATTGGAACAATTAAATGGGAAGGAAGGGACGAGACCCAGGTACTAGCAGAGGGCCTCAACTTTGACAGGAACAATGTCAGGTCACTGACAGGATCAGGAGGGAAGACAGATGCTGGCAGGTAGGCAGATTTGACAGGAGGAATTTGCAAAAAGGCCTTTCATGATGGCTTCTGTTCTCAGTGATGGAAATAACTCACCCCTAGGAGTGAGGATAAAAGAGACATTGATTGGTCAAATGCCTCAAAGATACCTTCATCTGGAAAACTCAGTCTTGTTGAGTATCTGAGTCCTGAGAATGCAGCACTGAGATGTGGTGGTCAAGGGCACAGACAGCAGACACACTGCCCAGGTCTGAAACCAACCCCATGACCTGCCGTGTGATTCTGCTCACGTCGGGTACACCCCTAAGCCTCAGCTTTTGCACTCAGAATAGGGAAAATAATAGTATCTTCCTCCAGGGGTTGCTGGAAAGTGAAATAAGCTAATGTCTGTCAAGTGCTCAGAATAACCCTTGGCACCATAGCCACTATATAAATTTTTGCTACTTTTATTGTTAAGGAATTACATGCCCCAAACCCATTCTGGGCTATTACTCAGTCAATGTTCTTGATCCAAAGTAAAATTTGAGGCTAACTTAGCAGCTAACCTACATTCTAATGAAGCAGCAGTAAGAACCTCAAGCTGTCACTTACACAGATGATTTCCCATTGCGAGGATCTTTGAACGTTGTTGTTCTGGTGTTATGATCGACAAAGTACCGCACACCTTCCCGAGTATACCTAATCTCCCAGCCTTCTGGCAGGGGCTCTTCATTCTGTAAGCTGAAAGACAGAAAGACAATCAAAGGTGACCACTCTCCAGGTACTAAAAACATCTGAATCGAGGTTTACCTTATCCTAGCTACATGTCAATACATATAGAATGATGTAAGGCTGTAATATATACATACCCTTGAGTTCTTGGATCTTCCCATTGCGTGGTTTTTGTGTTATGATTCACGAAGTAAACTCTGTCTGTTGAATCTACTCTTTTTTCTAAAAAACAGAGTGAACATAGCATTTAATAACCATTTCTATATATTCATTTCAGGTGTTTTTATCAAAAACATATTACTTACCCCAGCCTGGTGGCAAAGGCCCGTAGGGGTCATTTTCTGCAGCTAACATTGAAGCCTGATTGGAGAAAGGGTTGGAAGAGAAATAAAGTAACAGGATCTTAATATAATAGCAGAGACAAACCAAGCACTTGGCAGAATCACATTTTATAATAATGCTCTAAAAAATATAATAAAGGAATGTGAATGTAGTGATTTCAAGACATGAAGTCCTAAGTGCCGTGAGTTTAAGGGGAGTCAATCAATTACTCTCCTTCTACAATGACTTAGAAATAACACCCTGACCATCACTGTTTTCATCTCAGCCTTTCGACAATAATCTAGAGGCACCAGGTGAGAGGAGAGGAGGGCACATGAAAATGGTGGTGTTTAAATGAAGCAATAGTATTTGTTTAAAAACAGAACAATTATCACAGTTCTTTTTAAAACAAATGCCTATTCATACAGCCAGTATTAAATACGACTATCATCATTATACAAATAAACAATTATCTTTATATCCTTTTATATATTTATATATACATAAAACACTTACACTTACACATTATTACAACCCAGAAATGTATTCTGAAGCACGAGTAAACATTCTACTGTCAATTTGAAAAGAATGACAAATGTAAAATCATGACCTGAAAAGCCATTTCTCAATGATGATATGCATGCATCTTGATAATCATTTTAACACTTTGGAAGAGCTGCTGCTATCTGTACTCAGTGTCCCTCCTCTCTTCTCCCTCCTTCACAACAAGCCACTGTTTTTGGGGGGCAGTTATGTGCTGGCTAGGAAATATCCATCTCCTTTCTTGCATGCAGAGGGCTAGCTGATGGGATGATCATTCTGGGCAAGGAGGTTTGGGTAGAAGTTCCGGCTGAGGGCCTCCCTTTCCAAGTAAAAGGGCAAGGGCTTGCTAGAAAAAGCCATCTCCCTTCTATATCCCTCTCTGTCCTTCTGCCTAAACTGAGGAAGTGAGGCCCCAGGGCAGCAGCTGCACAGGATGAATGTAAGAAGCATGAAGCAGGAGGACTGAGGATGAAGGAGCCATGGCAGAAAGAGCCCAGGCCCCTGATGGCATTACTGAACCAGTGAGGATTGGCCCTGGACTCCTCCCCAGATTTGACGTTACACGTGTACAACTAGCCCTCAATCCATTCAAGGATGTTCTGTCATGTGTAGGAGAACACAGTTCTGATATACACCTGTTATCTGAGCCTGCCTTATTTCCCCAAGGTGTTCCTGTGTACACCTAAGTCCCACCAAATGCACACTCACACTACATAACCCCTGATTTACGATATTCAGCCAGATGATATGTATCACCACAAATTCTGTTTAATTTCCATGGGTAGCAGCTGGGTGACCCACACCTCCCTGGCTGCAGATAGCAGAAGAGGGGTCGCCTGCACAAGAGACCTTGTCCTCTCACCTCTGAACCAGGTGGTACTCTGACAGGCTGATTTTTCTCTTTGTATGTTTCCTACTTTCTAGTCATCTACCAGCCTCTATATGTGGGGTTTAAGTTGCCTCAAAACTATCTACAAATGCCCAGTACTTAAAATTTATATTTTATCTTTCCTATGATCAAACCCATTTAACAAAGGTTTTTTAGGTTTTTTTCCCCAACTCTTTTGTGAATGTTTACATAAATCACCAACTGGTCAAATTTTCAGGTATATTACATTTTTAGACAAAAGCATCCCAATCCCAGGAACATCTCTGGCATGCCAAAAGAGAGCAAAGTGCTGTTTAGGAACCTGGGAAAGGACCCAGAGTAGTTTGTGTATGGCGAGGCTGGCCTTAAGTAAAATCAGGAACTGCTTTTATTTAAAGCCAATAAAATGATCATCATTAAAGGTAAAAGACTGGGAATTTGTAAAGACATAGTATTTTATAAAGAAATTACAATTATGAAGCTATCATTTAATAAAGACAATGAGTAAGTTATCTTAGCACATTAGGAACATTTTTTTAAAAGCCTGAAGTAGTTATCTATATCACAAACCATGCTAGTTATTTATCAAAGGTTGTCAATGAAGGGCCCTGTAATGCAGTGCAATAGATTGTAACACATTAGACTGCAGTGCAGTAGAATGCAATGCAGAATGAAATGCAATAGGATGGAATGCATAAGAATGCAGTGCAGTAGAACAGAATACAGTAGAATGGATTGTGATAAAATGCACTGCAGTAGAATAGAATGCAAAACCAGTGCAACGAAATGCAACACATAGAATGCAATACAGTAGAATGCAAAGCATCGACATGCCGTGCAGTTGAATGGAATGCAACAGAATGCAGTTCAGTAGAATGTAACTCAGCAGAATGCAATGCAGTGACTGAGGCAGACCCAGGGCCACATGTACTCACTGAGTAGAGGTAGCGCTGGTTAAACTGCTGCAGGGCACCCTGGAGCTGGCTGCGCTGCGACTGCCACTGTTCAAAGTCCCGCACCGACTCCAGGGTTGGCCGCTGCCATGTGGTTGTCCTGGTATTGTGGTCGACATAGTACACCCTGCCACGGTCATCCACTCTTCTCTCCCAGCTACCACCAAGAAAGTGAGAATAAAAATAAAACATCTCTCAGTAGAAGACAATGGGAAGTAATTAATACTCCAAGCAAATAACTTAAAAACCAAGTCCAAGCCATGATAAAATAACTTAAAAAAATATAAATTATGATATCCTTCAGAAATGCTATGAACATGAAACTTGCTATTTATCTTATCTAAATACTTCCCATTCTACCACTACATAATTTCCAAGTATTACAGGTGGATGGTCAGTTCATGGAGTAGTCCCTGGCTGAGACAGTGGCAAGTGGAGGTTCTTACACTGAGTATGTGAAAAGCTCTTCCCCCTGCCCCTCCAGTACCGGATTGGTGGTGGGACAAGGGGAAGATAGGCACATGTGCCAGAGAAGTCAAAATGGCAGCATGAGAGGCGCTGGACCTAAAAGGCCTGTCAGTGTAGCCTGGGGAAAGATGGGAAATGAACCTACTCAAAGCATACAAAAGTCTGGGAAATTGGTCGTTTTGAGAAAGCACCTAGTTCATTCCACACCCAAGTTAATATAAACTCAGGGGAACAAAGAATGCCCTTCTTTCTTGCTCATGGCTCACTGGCTTGTGGCCTGCACTTGAACAGTGCCTCACCTGTTCCCTCCATGGACCACATGGCCTTACTGGCCACAATGCCCACGGCCTCCAGGAGGGAGACTCTCTCACCCACTTGGTGATGCACCTGCCAGTGCATTAGCACATTCTCCACCCTGGAACTACACAACCTTGTGGACCTAGCAGTCACATGACCCATGGCTGTACTGGCTCCATACGCATGCTCCAGGACGGAGCCTGAAATGGGCACCAGCCGGGAACAAACTAAGCTACCGGGATGGCCACTTAGCAGCTGCCTGCAGGCCCCAAAGGATGGTACTTTAAGGTGAAGCAGGAGCTCTGGGCACTGGTTCTTGTTTTGGTCTTACTGAGGATTGTTGGTCTCACAGAGGAGATGGGCTTTGAGATGGGGAGTCCTCCATTTTCCCAAATTGCACAGCATCAGAATAAAACCTCTTCCATTTTTCACCAGCAACTGCTTCATGAATTTTGCTTTTGTGGCATGAAGTAGAGGAACCCCCCCTTTTTCTGTTTGGTAACATAAGGATGTCTCAAAAACAGGTCATAGATTGAACCATCCCAGAATCGATCCAACTATACTTTCTCCCCCTTTTTCTGATAAGCATTTACTAAGTGCTTACTGTATTCCTGGCAATCAACACTATAGCCACTCCCGACGTCAGGATGTTAAGTCTGTCGACAGTTCTTTGCCTACCACCCTGCAGCTCATCTGAGGTGCAGCTCATCTGCAGGTGCAGTCATGGCATCCCACTTGCCAGAGCTCTCAGGGACAGCTCAGAAAACCTCCCAATTCCAGCCTCAGTGCTCCAGCCTTCCAATGTTCCTTCCAGAGAACCGTATGGAGCCACATGAACACCCTCTTGGTCCCTTTGAACAGAATGTCCTTCCCAGTCTCTGCACATCCAAACACATCCATCCTCCAGGGTCCAGTTCACCTAGAACCCATTGTGGTCATTAATTTACACAACAATCTCAGAATTCTCTCAGCAACCGATCTCACAAAGTAACATTCCTTGTCTTGAATTTTCTAGAACTGGAAGTGTGTTTTGTATTGGTGGACAGAGCCCCCGAGTATCAAAGATGACAAGGAAAAATGCCAGGTGCAGTTAGAGCATGGGAATACTATGAATAGTAACCAAGCTGGCTATCAGTGTGGTGTGCTCATGAGATGAAGACATGAAACCAAGGACGAAGGACATCAGTTTGTGAGTGGCCTTCAGTGAAAGCCTAACAGCATGAACTATATTTAATGGGTAACAGAAATATCTGCACTCATATAAACCCTCTATAGCATCAGCCAGAATGTAATGAAGTTTACTTGTGGCAACCTGTAGATCCCACTGCAAAGCACTCAAATATCTGCCAGTAAATCCCATGGAACAACCAGGTTTGGATCACTGTCTATGAGAACTACATGGATGAATTGCCTTTCATCCCTTAAAAAGTTAAACAGGCACTGACATTGGACCAAAATTCTGCAACAACCCTCAGTAACTCATTCCAGTGTTTGACAATCTCTTAGGAAGCCCTTCATGAATGTAAGGAAACAATATGCAGAATGAAAGAATAACGTTAAGTCATATGACATAAACTTGAAAACCACGTTTGATAAAACAACTGAAGGTGACAATGCTTTCACCTTACCCTGGAGGTAAAGGCTGTGGTCTCTCCCACGTGGTCGTTCTAGTATTATGATCCACATAATAGGTTCTCCCATGAGGGTCTTTTCTCTGCTCCCATCTTTAAAAAAAAAATGAAAATGTAAGTAAAAGACAACAAATAAGACAATATGAAAAATGACTGCTTATTATAATCAGGAAAGTTACAGATATGTCTCACTTTAAAAACCTACATATATATTGTAAAGTTGTTTTCTCAATTACTAGTGCTTTTAAGTTCTTACACATTTCCTTTTTTATTAACACAATTGGTTACTCAGTAGTATAGTTAGCAGAGAAAGCTAGAATATACATTAAGTTTTTAAAAGATACTAATTTACAAAATTCTAACTCATCAGAAAAAAGTAGTTCAATCCAGGTAGGAACTTCCAGCCTAATATATCAAGGCCAAGGCACAAAATGTCAGTGAAGTAATATACATTTTTGCCTGCAATTTCAAAACCACTATCTAAAAGATTTCAGCAGAAACCACCTTGAAGAGGCACATGATTCACAACTGTTAGTGTTTCTGTGCACCAACAATTCTCCCTCCATGTGCACCCAGCATCTCCTCTCTGAGCACATCTGTTCCTCTCTGAATTAGGGTAAGTCTACAAATCTACAGACACTGTACTGTATCTTTTGTTCTGATTTGAAGACTCACTCTCATTTTCTTCTCTGTGATCCCTGCTTCTTCCTCTCCAGTCCTCCCATAAAAGGATATGGAATATTTCAAATACACAAAATAAAAACCTGGTAATTCTGAGTTTAACATTCTTGTTTTCAATCTGAACACAGAATAGGGAATATTTTTCTTTCTCTTAAACACAAGAACCCAATTAAATCTGATTTCTTGTTTAATAGAGAGGACTTTCATGATTTTTTCCCTATGCAATGATCACACCTGCTAAAGGTATTCCCTGAACAAGGTGTACAGATAGAAGCTGTCAGTCTCCTGCACAAGAACACACACACAGGCACATGCACATATACACTCACCCTCCTCCTAACTGTCCCAAACACATACATGCTGGGCCCTTCCTTATGTGACTATGAAAACCCTCCTGACAGCTGAGTCAGGAACATAACATGAGTGCTATTCCCACCCCTGCCCTTTCATCGTCTGCCTTCTCCTTACCCATCATCATTCTAACTGCAGGTACTTGTCTGCCGCCCCAGGCGAGCACCAGAACCCCTTCCAGTCCTTGTCAGATCCCACTTCTCAGGTCCATGACTTTCACTTTCCCTGCCTGGTTGGAAAACACGAGTCCTAGGAGCTTCTTGAGGAGGACACCTGGGCGGGAAACTTGGATAAGCCTAGGTGTCTATGCGCACACTCAACAGTGCAGCTGGACACAGAACTCAAGGTCACAGACAATGTCCCTCCACAATGGAGGCACTAGCTGCAGTCTCCTAGGGCTCTTTGTGCTGATTCTGAGAAGTCTGATGCCATTTTAAAGAGTGCGAGACCTGCCTGCCTTTGTTTCTTAACCTCTGGAAATGTTTAGGATTTATTTTTTCTTCAGCCCCAATGTACTAAAACTTTCCCACCGGAGTGTCTTAATAGAGATTTATTTTCCCTTGACCTGAGTTTTGGTGATCCTTTTCAAAAAGAAAATCATGTCCTTTATATTGTAAAAGTTTTAGTTATTTTGTTAAGTATTTCCTCCCATTTTCTCTTTTTCTGAAATTTCTCTTATCAGACCTTCTATTTTATAAATTTCTCTTTTTGTCTTACTTTTTGGGAAACTTCTTTACCTTCATCAGCCAAGTCTTCCACTGAATTAGATTTCCAAGAGCTCTTGGTTCTTCGAGTATTCTGTTTTTATAACATCTCATTGCTTAATTTATGTCATACCTACTCTTATCCTTCTGAGAATATTGAAATAGTCTATTTCTTCAGGGAGCATTTTCTAGGTTGTTTTGATTTTTCTTTCCATAAGAGGTTTCCCTTGTATATCTAATGAGCAGAGGACCAAAAACTGCCTCGGGGCTTTGTGTGCCTGGGTGGGGCTTGTGGGTTGTGGGATAAATGGAAAGGCAATATGAGGCAAGTTCACTAGAGGACAAACAGCAGTGCTTTTTGTCTTTTTTTTTTTTTTTTTTTTTGGCAGGGGAGTCTTCAAAGGAAGACACTTCTAAAAGTTTCTAGTCTTCTGGGTGGAAAGGTAGAATCCTGGCTGTCAATACTCTGGGACCTGGGTAGGAAGAACAAAGTGCTTCATTCATATAAAGGGCTATAAAGCTCTTTTTCAGTTTTATCCTAAGTCAATTGCAAATATTTCCAATTTCACATTCAACAAATAAATATTCAGTAAGCACTTATGCTAGTCACTAGTTCTTAACTTTTCCAAAATGAAAGATTACTTCCAGAATTTAGTATTTTTGTTCTAAACAGATTTTCTTTCTCAAACTAAATTGCTTATTATACAGAACATTATATTCAGAACTACTTTTGGATTTCTTCTTTATATTTTTTCTACATTCTATTCTCTAGATCAAGGGAAGACAAACATTTTCTGTAAAATGCCAGAGGACAAATATTTTACGCTCTGGGATAAGAGGCAAAATTGAGGTCATTAGGGTAGATACAAACCTAATAAAAGAGAAAACTCTTGCCATGCCTCACCCTGTTTTCTGGGTTGTGGGCATGCTGGCAACATTCTGGGGACACAGAAGTCCAGGCCCAGATGAACGAGCCTGGTCAATGTTGTGTCTTTCCTGTGAAACTCTCTAACCTCCCCTGACAGCTGGCCAAGTGGAGGAACTAGCTGAGTTGTCATTTCCAGATGAGGTCCTACATCCAAGAGTGAGTCCTCAGCATGTAGGTAGTGACCAGAGCAGCCTTGGCAGCAATGCAGGAGGAAGGTGTTGGAAAGTTGGGGTGGGCAGAGATGTTACAGTGGCAAAGGAGACACTCTGGCTGTGCCTGTGAGTCCTATAAAAGTGGCAGGCTGGAATTGGCCAGAGACTACATTATCCAGTAATAGAAATTCATGAATTCACCTTAAATAGTTGCAGATTACTTAACTGATTAATGAGACTTCTCAACAGAACTCTTTATTTTCCTGGAGAGAAGTGCTAATTTGTAGCTGGCACTGTCACCTTCACCCACAATATTCTCCTTTTCAGTGTTTAGATACAGCCTCTCTGCCTCATTAAGCATATAAAAATTTTCAAAACCTACTACTTAACAGAGACCTTGTTAAAACAACAAGAAAAGTAAACTTGGAAGAATTTTGTGAAACATAATAAAAACAATAGAATTTAGTTATTGATTGCATAACTATGATTTCAAACCTGAATAACGAGAGGGTGAACTTGCCTTCTTACAAGCACAGTCCCACAGTCACCTCTCTCCTGCCATGCTCACTTGTCTTGTCTCACCGTCCCCTCAGCAGCTGATATCCCTTCACCTGTCTCAGCTCATAAAACAAGCAATTGCCCCCAGTTCTGTCTTTTCTTGCCCATTTCCACATGTGTTTACAGGGAAAGGGTAAGAGTTGCCGTCACACCCAACCCTCCTGGAGTCTACCATGCCGCAACTTGAATACAGCTCTCACCATTTCCCAAAACCACTTGTCAAAGGTCAGCAGCAACTAATCTCTTTGTTATCAAATTTTATGGCGCCTTTCATTTCTTAGCTTCCTTGAATTTTTCAGTATATTTCTGTATATGGTTTATCAACCATTTCCTTAGGTGTATTTACAAGGCAGGGCCTTTGCCCAACTGCTCACTCCCTCGAAATCACTCACTTTCACTCTAATTTACTTACTGAAAAAATTGGCAGGCACAGTTTTAGGCATGAGGGATATAGAAATGGAAAAATAAAGCCGTTTATCAATGTAGTGGAGAAAAAACTGATGATAACACAAAAATAAAGTACATCACTGCGCAATCTTACTGCTACAAGAAAAACAATACCAATTCCATCCATCATGCTGATGAAAAGAACCCAACTCTAAGAGTTCATAATGATTCCATTGATATTAAATTCTAGAACAGGGAAAACTAACCTATAATCTGTAGTGGAAAAAGTCAGAACAATGACTGCCTCTCTAAAAGTAGGGACAGGAATTGACTGAGAAAGTGGTTTGAGAGAATCTTCTGGAGTAATGGTACCTCTATAAGCGTTTGGGTTAACAATGTATACATTTGTCAAAAACTTATCAAAATGGTACACTTAAGACTTGTACATTTCTTCCTATGTAAACTTTACCTAAAAAGATTTTTAAATTCTGAATTCTAGTTAACTGGTCAAAGCTGAAGAGCTAAAGGGCAAAATGTATGGTACCTTAAAACTGCTAAACTGCATTTAAAAATTAGATGGAAAGAGAGATAAAGAGATATGAGATAAAGCAGACGGTAAAATGTCAACTGTAGAATCTGGTGATAGGTATATGGGTGTTCCCTATAAAGTTCTTCTAGTTTTCAGCATGTTTGTAAATTTTCATAAGAAAAAGTTGGGAAAAATAGAACAGTGTAAGAGTTGGGGCAGAAAGTCCTGATGAGAGCAGGGGGTGTGGGGAGGGCAGGAAAGCCCTGTGGAATGAGATAGCCTGACCTTGAGCTGTGCATATATAAGGAACAACATTCCACACAAGTGAGAGCCAATGCAGGGTCTTAGGCGAGATTGCACTCAGCATAGCACACAGATGTCATTTCCGAGACCAAGCCTCTTTCTGAGGATAGTGGAATGCTACTGACAGTTAGCTAAACAAGTGAGTAAGTAACCAGAGAGGAAACACAGGGGCACAGGAACTCAAAGATTTTTGAGGAAAGAGGGAAAGACACAGATTTGAACAATAACTGGGTTCACCAGCAGATTCCTACGGGAGCCAAAACCTGCTCCACCCTCCTGTTCCTCCTCTTCCTCACAACTAATCCCCAGGCCCATCTTAACATCACTGTGAAAGGCCAGCATCCACCTTAGTGTGGGTCATTTTATTTTCTCTCCAGGATCAGTGGCCCACAGCTCACAAAGAACTACATTTTACACTAACATCTCGTGTAAAGTTATGCTATTTATTTACAGTTGTATACAAACACACCAGGGAAACCCACATTCCGGAAACACTGCTCACTCTTACTACATATCATACACATCACTATTTCCTATTCTTATCTATACTGAGTCACTTCATTAGGTGTTCAAATTTTGTTCATAACCTGCGACATCCTCCTACTGTCCAGACCATTCACAGTGCCTGAAGCAGTGATGTGGCCCCCCGCAGAATTCAGTTTCTGTCCTTACTGCTTTGATCGAAATGCCTGCTTCCTTCATAGAACAGCTTGGCCGTTCTCTTGTCCTCTATTCAGTCTACAGGACTGCCAGCATAACCTTCATCACACTTGAGTATCACACACCCCCCTCCACTTAAAACTCATTAGTACTCACTCCTGGTTTCCAAGACAAGCTGTCAGCCCCTCTGCAGGGATCCACACTCTTCACATACTGTTTCCTCTTTGGCACTCACACCTTGTCTTCCCAATGCTGAGCTCCAGCAGGAACAGACAGTCTCCCCTGAGTGCGTCTGATCCTGCTTGGCATACTATGCTTTATTTCAAGAAAGGTAAAAACACAACTGAAACACTATGATGTCAGTGGCCCAAACACACACTTGGCTCCCCTGAGTGAGCCCACCAACACCTGCCTCAACTACTCCTCTTAAGAAAGCCACTTCAGGGTCATCTCTCCCAGAAAGACTTCTTTGATGTCAGTCGGCAGAGCAGGCCCACCACATCCTAGACTGAGCTCTGGCAGAGCTGTCACTGCACTGTGCAGTCCCTGGTTGCCTGTCTTTATCCCCTAGACCATGAGGTTCCTGCAGTAGGAACAGCTTCTCGTGTGTCACAGTTGCAGATACGTAACCAATTAGAATAAATAAGCTGTCAAAGAAAGGAGACAAAGGGACAATGAGAGATTTTTGAGAGGCAGGGAGGACAGTGTAGGGTCTGAAATGCTTGCAGGAAACAGAAGTGGGGACTTCCCATTCTGTAAATGGTTGAAAACATGTGCAAGAAAGGTCTGTCTGGACATAGAGCCTGAACAGCTAAAGTGAGGGACAGTGCAAGCCCCCATAAGGGCTCATGTGTGGGGGACCACAGCTGGAAACAGGGAGGCAGTGGGCACAGCCAGTGAGAGCCAGAGGACAGCCCTGAGCAAACCAGCTCCAGCTCTCAGTGTGAGTGGCAGGCACACTACTGACTGTATTGACAGCGTAAGGGCTGTGAGCCAGACCCTGGAGGTGTGGCTGCCAGGCACAGAGCAGACATGCCAGTATGAAAGCCATGTCCAGACCCCAACCCAGCATTTCCAACTGTATCCTGGATGCATGTTTACAAGTGTGAGCCACTAAATAAACCTTTCAAAGGCAGAGACAAGGAATCATTAATATTGGGTTGGCCAGAAAGTTCTTTTGGGTTTTTCCATAAATGGCTCTAGTAGCACTTAATTGTCTTTAACTTCATTCAAAACAATTTTGTTAGACTATATTGTGACAGCTGTCATATCAGCATGCATTTAAAAAACTTATCAAAATTTGTCAATTTTTCTGTAGCGATTCTAATATTGAAGATGGAAGAAAATAAGCACCATTTTTGGCATATTAAACTTTCTTTCAAGAACTGAAACACAAAAAAAGATTTGTGCAGTGTTTGGAGAAGGTGCTGTGACTGATCAAATGTGTCAAAAGTGGTTTGTAAAGTTTTGTGCTAGAGAGTTCTCACTGGACAATGCTCCACAGTTGGGTAGACCAGTTGAAGTTGATAGCAATCGAATCGAGATAGTAATTGAGAATAATCAACATTATACCATGTGGGAGAGAGCCAATATACTCAAAATATCCAAATAAAGCTATTGGTGAAGACAAAAAATGTGTCTTTTATTTTATGGAAAAAACTGAATGGACTTTTTGGCCAACCCAGTATTAGTATCTTCAGAGACAAGCAGAGAGTAAACAACCTGTGAGTGACCATGGGAGAGATGACTAAATGGAACACACTTCCAGAATATTTATCAAAGCAAACCCTGGGATGCTGAGTCAGAACTGTGGAAAATGTAGAAGTTAAGAATCACTGAGCAGCAATGAAAACCCAAGTTTGTAACTTCCCATCATCAAGGTTGGACAGCTCCCCAGCATTCAGGATTAACAGAGTAAAACGCTGGCCTGTTCTTGAGCCTGGGGTGTGGGGAGCAGACCACAAAGGACACTAGAGCTGAGCTTATGATGAGTGGTGCCATGGTCACTCTTAGTACAGTAAGAATAATCCAGAATCAAATCAAGAGTGTCCTGCAAATTAAAATCTTTTTTCTTTTCCTCTCATACTGCATGCATTTCAACGAGATGGTAATTGTTCTTAGTTTTAAAACAGGGGTGTCCAACCCACAACCCTTGGGCCACATGCGGCCTAGGATGGCTATGAATGCAGCCCAACGCAAAATCATAAATTTACTTAAAATATTATGAGATTTGTTTGTGATTATGTGTCACAATGTTTTTTACTATGTGGCCCAAGACAACTCTTCTTCCAACGTGGCCCACAGATGCCAAAAGGTTGGACACCCCTGAAAGGTACCTACTGTGTAGCACATAAATAGTATGAATCAGATTTAAAGTCCAATTACTGGAAAAGTTTTACACACACATTCATTCGACAGTAAAACATAATAACACATTTGCGAGGTAACGTACCCTGAGGGCAGGGTTTCTGTGCTGGCGTTCCTCCCAGGCTCCACACACCCACCCGGCTGCCTTAATTTGACTGCTTCAAAGGCAGAGCTATTTCCAGAAGCAGAGGCAGCAGGGTCTAGGTCACCACCAGCCCCAGACCCAAATGTCATGCCATCAGAGAGGACGCATCCATTGTGCTCCGAGGACACCGGCACTTCTGGAACAGGGGCCTCCTCATGAGTGGTTCCCGTACAACTTGATGACGAGGCTCCATCCTCAGGGACCGCAGTCCCTGTGTCAAGAGGGCCATCAGTTGGTGCAAGTGAGGTTGATTCTCCATTAACTGCAAAGGGCAAATGAACAAGACAATCTGACAAGGAATGACAAAGCAGTCATTACTGCACAATTAACTCAGGCAGAGCCTAATGCACACATTATAATGCCTCAGGTATTGATGAGAATCAAATAAGACAGATTCTATTTTTTTGTTGCTCACAGTTTAGAGATAAGCATGTGAATAATAAAAATTTAAGAAAAAAATATATATTCATATACAAAGAATCTTAAGTAAGGAGAAACTACCATTAGAATGCAAATGTTTTTCCTCCAAATTATCAATTCTGAAAAGTCCGCATGGGTTATAAAAAATTTTAAAATAACCCCTTTCAATCTCCTTTTTTGTATGCAAACAGTAGCTAGTAGTCTATGTCAATGGTAGGCATTAACTCAGCTAGCGCATCGCAGGGGCTGCGGAAACACTCCAGGACCTCACTCTACATGTTCTGGAGAAATAACCCAGCACTGGGATCCATTTTAAATGTGACAGATCCATTTCAACGATAGTCACTGTAATAGTGAATCAAATTAAAACTGGAAAGAGAGATTGAACAAAACTAGTTAGAATGTTACACCTCAAAGTTCACATTGAAATGGGGAGGGAGCCATAAATAAGAGTAAATGACACCAGAAGGTAAACTTGTACAGACAGAAAGAGACTTCTGTGGCAAAAGCAAAGACAAGAGCGTGCTACTGAAAAGCCAAACTTAAGATCAGATCGATCTGGTTCTGCAGCAAGGTGGGGAGAGAATGGCTTTGGGAAAAACAACAAGAATGAACTACGAGAAATAAAACTATCACAGTTACTCTGTTCCCAGCACTGTCAGAGAAAATGCAGACAAAGTGCACAGAGACGAAATCCTGGATCTCCCACCCAACGTGCACTCATAAGAACGGTCTCATCTAGCATGTACTCTCCAACAGTATGCATTTATTTTCCATAAAAGACAAGGCAGCAGTAGTCTTTTCAAAGCAAAATAATGCTAAATGGGAAAAGAGGAATGCTTGAGAAAAGATAATCCAGAACAAGAAATGGTCATAAACCTGTGTGCATACTGAAGCACAGACATAAAACATACTTACAAACAGGAAGAGGGTTAAATATTGATATTAAATAGCACAATCATGCATGTCACCTCAATGCTTAGCCCACCGTTTCATGCTTCTATTACAGCAACAGCCTCCAGATTGGTCTGCCTGCTCCCTCCCTTATCCAACTACCATCCAGTCTCCAAAGAGCAGCCACATAACAGATCTTTCACCGCCTTACTGAATATGCTGGTGCATTCCCACTACAACCAGAAAAAATTCCACACCCTTGACCACGGCCACAACAAGGACTCTACCTGGTCTGGTCCACAGCTATACCTGACCGCTCACAGTGGCTTTCCTGCTCATTCAACACCGGGCTGTTTATGAGCTGTCCCAAAGGTCTCAGAGGACCTCACACCAGCTGCTTCTCATCAGGTAGACTCCGCGCTCAATCACACTTTCAGGACAAGGTTCTTGAGTATCTTATTTAATGCTATATTTGCCCCTCCCTCACCCCAGGTTCCACATTATACTGTTGTGTTTCTCATGTTGTGAAATCATTTTATTTACTTTCATTAAGTTCAGACTACAGCAACAACTTAGATTTTTTTTCACTTTTGTATTCCTAACAGCTACAAAATGCATGGCATATGAAAACAATATTTGTTGAATCAATAAAGACAAGTCAAAGAAGAACTAAATGTACCTCTCTCAAAACTATGGAGATAACAGAGCATTAGTAGAAAAATAATTAAGTAAATGAAGGCTTTAATAACACAATCAATACCTCTGATCTAAATTACAGAGTTAGAGAGGTAGTTTTGAGTTTCTACTGTGTGTGTGTGTATGTATTCAGATTCCAACCAGACAACCTAAGAATTTTTAGAAAAATTGACATAAGTAAAGGACAAAACAAAATCCCCAGTTCTACAATCAGGAGGCCATGGTCTCATTATACTTTGATAAAACTAGAAAGAAACAAAACAAAATTTATTGAAGTTTTATCAGAAGTGTAGTATAATTAGTTACCCAGTGAAACACATTTTTAGGGGCATCTTATTTTACCATCCCATGGCCTGTGCCCATGCTAGTTTCCTGACTCTGACACTGCACTACAGTCATGCAAGATGTCAACATGGGAAGAGGCTGCGGAAGAGCACATGAGACCTTCCTGTACATTCTTTGCAACTTTCTATGAATTTATATTTTCAAAACAAAAGGTTGAGATCAAATGTCCAGTTAGTCATGCCTAAAACTTACCATACTGAACTGTGATCTGTTTTTTTAATAAACAATAATTATATATTAGAAAAAGTTATTTTACACTAAAGGTTAGGGAAAGAGGGAAGAAGTAGAAAATATATTTCTCTTAAATTCTTACCATTGTCCAAGGACTATGGTAGATGTTTTAGATTATTGTGTTTGAAACAACCCTATAATGTAGTTAGTTGAGTATTATCTTCTTTTTGTAAATGGAGGAGATAAACTTTGAGAAGTTAAATTTGTCCAACCAAGGTCACATATTGGTTAATGCATTAGGTGGCAGAGCTGGGGTTTAACCTCATCCTGTGAGAAGCAAAGTCTAATCTTTACCACATCGTGACTGCCTTCTATTTAGCTTAAAATAATGACCAATATTCAAAGCAACTAAACTTATCCAATGGATCCCCTTAGTCAAGACTTAAAAGAATGGGGCAGAGGGGAGAGAAGCCATCATATACAGTCCTGTCTCTGGTAAAATCCTTTGCCTCAAACTCCTTATTTAACATAGACCCACAGTCCCTTGGCAGTTTCACATCTCATAACTCTGTGGAACTCAAGAAGGTGAAATGACACACATTCTGTACATCACACTAACACCCAAGTAGGTGTAGGGCCCATAGTTATTAAAACACAGTAATGTTTCTGCCGCAAAAGGTAAGAAAACTCATTCTAAGCATGATAAATTCAAAACATCCTCAAATCAGTTCTAATCAGTCTGCCATTAAATGGGTTCCCACCACCTCCCAAAATTGTTTTTAAAGATTTTAGAATTTGGGTTGTTGCAGTTAAGCGATTAAAAAAACTGTCATATATTAGACAAAGAACATGCACATTCTCACCCTCACTCCAATAATGAAAACTAATTTTTAAAGTCCTTAATTTAAAAAAGGAATACCATTTTTACAGTAACAGCTTAAAAGAGATTACCATTCCTTTAAAATATATCTGAATTCATCCACTCACCCTCCCACTAAGGAACGACAGATAGTACAAAAGATACTGGTCAAGTGGTTGCTACCAACAGAGCAAGTCCCAAAGTCTTCGTAGACTGGCCAATGGAATGATGGCAATTTTCTGTCAGATGTCACCAACAATAATCAGAAGAGGTGAAAACAGTCACTAAGTTGGTTGGGGGAAAATTATTTGAGACTATCATGGCATGAAAGACAAACAGCGAAACTCAGACAATACAAAAATCCCACACATCCAGGTGCAGGGAAAGCAGAGGGCACAACAGAGGGCCAGAGCTGGGTTGCAATCCAGCGCCTACCCCTCCTAGCTGTGAGCTCCCGGGCCTCAGGTCCTCTCCAAGACTAGTATCTACTGCAGAGTTATTGTGATGGTTAAATGGAAAAACAGGTGCACAGTGTTTACAACAGGTACAGCACAAATGTTAGCCACCATTATTCTTCTGATTGTTTTAGGGTTCCTTGTAGTTATTGTGAATGTCATGGGAATTATTCATGATAATGCCTTCATTTCTAGTTCCTTACATGCATGTTTTATTTTCTCCTTGAGATTTCAGGCAAGGATAAATAAAGTGAATTTATTCCCAATGAAAAGGGTCTCTTTAAGTATCTGACAGGTTGTAGGGTGTAAATACGAGATTCTCTCTTTTGCATCAATACCTGAGTATACCCAAATGCTAAAACATGCAACAAACTGGTGGTAATGGGTTCCTATCAACTCAATCAGCCAAATATTTTAGCAAGAGGAGCTGGATTTCCAAAATTCAATATACTTTAGATGAGAGCTATGACAAGAATGAAAGAGGGTGTTGGTATAAGCCTTTCAAAAGTGAGCATTTGACATTCTTACACATTCCATCAATCAGGAGTATATTTAGGTAACAATTGGCCTTGCCACTGAGTTACTTTGAGAAAGAATGGAAGTCAATATACCATTCTAAATCCAACAATAATCAGAGAACAAATCACTCATTTTTTCGGTCATGTAGGTTTTTTTTCTTTTTTTTAAACCTCTTTGAAAAGTTTGCAAGGTAGTTACATTATTTAAAATACAATTTTTTATGGGTGCATAACTGTTTTTTTTTTCCATCATGTTTCTTTGTATGTATATTTGATAAACCAAACCCCTCTGGCCAGAAAGCACTAGATTCATGCTTTATTATAAAGAATTCTGATATTCAGATAAACCGTTTTTCTATATGTTAGTATTTTTAAAAAATAAGATTTTGGCCCTTCCTATAGGTACTTCCTCAGGCTATTTTTTAAAACTGTAATATTTAATCTAGGATAGATAATATAAGGCAGAGTTCTAGGAAACTCACTATTGTGTTTACTCATGGAATTATTGAGGACATCGTTCACATTACGGTGTCATTTCATACGCGTCCATAAAAGCTGGACTCTCAGGGTAGTACCTGTTTTAACTGATCTGTTCCTAATTTAGAGACAGTCCTGGAAAATCTATGATGACGTTTCCTTTCTTGCTTTGCTAGCAGAAATCTGTTGGCCAGAATCAGAAAATAAATGCATTTGCTCCCTACTTTTACCCTATTTAAATGATTTTTTCCTTCATTTTCCAGCTACCTTAAATTAATGACTAAAAAGTTCTATCTATTCTGGTACTTAGGATATTTAAATTTGTATTTTTTATAAAAGGTACCATTAATAAATTAATTGAATTCATTAAAAAATTCATGTCAGTTCCCATCTTTACAGAAACTTTCAGGAAAATACATGGTAAATACTCCCCAAGCTTGAGTGTAAATGCAAACTGTCTTATCTATAAATCCACTGGTTCTCTGCATGTTTCCACTTTTTACTACTTTACCATAAATGGAAAACACAGGAGAAAACACAGGGTCTGGAATCAAGAAACCAGGACTCCAGCCAAGCACACATGCTAGTTATCTTAAGCAAGTCCTAAAATATTTGGGTTTCAAGAGATTCATCTGAAAGAGTTAATATATATATAATGATCAAATAAAAAATAACATAACATTTATAGCTGATTCCACTGAAAACCATGATCAGAAGAAACCTTTCTTAGGCAGTCTTTCTATAATAGATAATACTTATTCTTGGAAAACATAAAACTCTCTGGAAGCTTTATCAGTTCACAGTACATTTTTCTACTCAGTTACATGCCAAGAAGTAAATATTTGTTTACTAACAGGAAGGTTAAGGAATCATTCATTACTGACAAATCAATGAATTCACTTAAATTCTTGTAGAAATATATTCCCTACTGTAAATTAAATAGTGATTTCTTGGCATGCATAAAGCCTAAAAATGTAGTTATCATATTATTACTGCTATGTGAAATGTGTTGTGATCACTAAACTAATACATTTTTGTCATATTTTCTGAAATAATCAAGGGAATTCAAAATTATTACCAAAAACTTCAGGCATTGGGAGGAGAATCAAGATGGCGGGGGAGTGGGTGGAAGTCACACTGACCTCCTCCCAGGACCAACCTGGAATTACAACTAAATTGTGGAGAAATTACCTGGAACAAACAACTGAACAATAGTGAGAGAGGAGCCTTGTAATCTCCGAGACAGAAGAATCGGCTTTAGCACAATCTAACTGGTATGGAATCTGGTAGCGACTTGAGGAGGTGGGCAGTGCGCCTACAGGTGGCAGCACCAGAAGGATACTGAAATGGCCAGTTGGATCCCCCCGAGAAGACTGGGGTCTAAACCATAAGCGGGGATCTCCAGCCAATAGCACCAGCACCCCAAAAGCACACAGAAAACAGCCAGCTGTGAAAAGCGGCAAGTTGCTCTCTGCCAGAGACAGGCAGCTGGAGATGCAAAGAGCCTTTTAAAATGCCAATGCATAAATTTTTACTTGAAGCCACTTACCCTGGGCTCTGGCAAAGGCGGGGGCAGAGTGGTCTAGAGATACCTGAGGAGAGACTGGGGAAGGAGCTTTGGGGAGAGAACTGAGAGAGTAGCCAGTGGGATCTCGGTGCTGACTCATACCCCAAGCGGCAGCAGCCATCTTGCTCAGGCAGAGACCACTCCCCCTGAGCAGAAGCAGCATCAGAGGATGCAACAGCCCTGCCCCCAGGTGGGACTCCAACCTGCCCTATGTTGTCTAAGCCGCCAGCTGAGTGCAAAGTGGCAGCCACAGAGAGTAGATCCCCAGCTAAAGGGGGCGCAGAGGGGTCTGGAGACACTTAAAGAGAGACTGCAGATGGAGGCTTTGGGGAGAGAACAGAGAGTAGTTGGAGGGATCCCAGTGCTCACTCCTCCCCCTCATGGCAGCAGCATGAGAGTACTCAATAACCCCATCCCCAGGAGGGACTCCACCCTGCCCTGGGCTGTCAAAGGCAGCCTGCTGAGTGCAGAGTGACTTGATTAACAGCTGAAGGAGACAGCTAAAAACAGTAGATTCCTGGAAGTCTCCAACAGACTGCTTAAGGTCAGACAGGGACAACATCTGACATCATCAGAGGCAGATCCAGAAAAGTAAAAACAGCGGTCTCCAACCATAGAGGTTCACCACAAAGTCAGGAAATCAAGACAGATCAACTTAAGCAGCAGAAACAAAAAAGAAGAATCTCACAAATAATGAGAAGACAAAATACCCCCTACTCGAAGGGAAAGGAGGAATCCCTAGAAAGGGAACTAAATGAAAGAGAGGCGAGTAAACTCTCAGATACTGAGAGTCCCAAACAATGGTTCTAAGGAAGCTCAGTGAGCTCGGAGAGAATTACAAAGTTTCCCTTAGTTACAGGAAAACTAAGAGGAACTTACTGCAAACTATATCACCATGAAAAAGGACATAGAAACTATCAGTAAGAGGCAAGAGGAAATGAAGAATCCAATTTCTGAATTGAAGAATATAGTAGAAGGAATCAAAAGCAGGCTTGATGAAGCCTAGGATCGAATCAGCAAGCTGGAGGACAAGATAGAAAAAAGCTCCCAGAAAGAACAAGAAAATGAAAAAAGACTCAAAAAGAATGAAGAGGCATTCAGGGGAATGCAGGACAACCTGAAACGTAATAATATCTGTATCACACACAGGGATACTAGAAGGAGAATAAGAAGAGGAAGGGATAGAGAACTTGTTTGAAAAAGTAATGATGGAAAACTTCCCTAATTTGAGGAGAGAAAAAGTCACACATGTCCAGGAAGCACAGAGGGTCCCATTCCAGAGGAACCCAATGAGGCCCACTCCAAGACACATCATCATTAAAATGGAAAATATCAGACAAGCAAAGAATCCTAAAGGCAGCAAGCGAGAAAGAGGTAGTAATATATATAAGGGAGCCCGAATACGGCTAGCAGCTGACTTCTCAACAGAAACACTGCAAGCCAGAAGGGAATGGCAAGAAATATTCCAAGTCATGAAAAGCAAAGGCCTGCAACCAAGACTGCTCTACCCAGCAAGGCTCTCCATTAAAATGGAAGGTGAAATAAGGAATTTCCCAAACAAAAGAAGGCTAAAAGAACACGCCTCCACCAAACCAGCACTGCAAAATATGCTAAAGGGACTGCTTTTAGATGAATAAAAAGAGTCTATGAATACCCAGTTCCTTTCATAATAGCCAATATTTGATATTACCAATGTTTTTTAATATGTATTAATCTGATTGTTTCAATGATGTGTTATTTTAAGTGTTGCCTCATTATCTGTTGGAACTAAACCTTTTTTTTATATTTCTTGCCTATTTCTTTCATTTTTAAAAAGCTTTAAATGACTTTTTGGTATTCTTTATCCATTTTTTGATAAAATATTTGTAGAAATTTATCCCTAAAAACAAAACATTAACTCTTTTTTAGATGTGTTGCAAATACTTTCCTATTCTATTCCTTGTCCTTTAACTTTTTTTATATGTATATTACTGTACAGTCTTAAATGTTTAATATAGTCATATTGTCAATATTTTACCTTATAGCTTTTGGTTTGAATATTTTACTTCAGGGTAAGAAAAATATTAGTTTGTATTTTCTCCTAAAACTCCTTAGATATTGATGTTTAACACACCTCAATATTTTTTGTATAATGTGTGAAACAGTGCTCTACATTTGGGTTATTTCAAGTAACAGTGGTCCATGCACTTTATTTGTTGAATAAGCCTTATTTTACCCACTGATTTGAAATATCAACTTAATCATATATTATACATTGCTAAACAGATACATAAGTTTGTCTCTAGAATGCTCATTATATTTCATTGATCTACTTATTTCTGTGCTGATGTCATGTTGGTTTAATTGCTGAGACTTTATAATGGTTTTACATTTTTTAATATTTTATAGTTAACTTTGACATTTAAAAACATAAAATCTGTATTTAATAAAGAAAGAAAGAGAGAGAGAGAGAGAGAGAGATGGACTTCTTACCTTTTGCAACAACATGGATGGAACAGGAGACTATTAAGCTAAGTGAAATAAGCCAGTTGATGAAAGACAAATACCATATGATCTCACCTATAAGAGGACTCTATTCAACAAAATAAACTAACGAACAAAATAAACCACAGACATGGAAATGCAGATCAGACTGAAAGTGACCAGAGGGGATGGGGAAAGAAGACAGTGGTGGAAAGAAGGGGGACTAGACAAAGTACATGTATGAATGACCCATGGACATGGACAACAGAGTGGGAACAGACTGTGGGAACAGGGGGCGGGGGTAGGAGGGGTGGAGGGGGTAAAGAGGGAAAAATTAAGACAACTGTAATAGAATAAACATGATTTAAAAAAAAATTTAGGCATTGTCATTTTAAAATTCCTGTTGTAGAACTGAGGGTTAAGCAAGACTGTGTACTAAGAAGAGTGCAGACACAGACACATAAGTGTCACTGAGTCTTCACATACATGTGTCCAAACAGCCATGCTTACCAGCATCACTGGCTGGTTCAGTTGTGAGTGGTTTGGGAGCTGGTGTGTTTTGCGGTCTGGCGGAACCCTGAAATGCAGATGAAGGTGCACTGTCTCCATTAATTACATGTGAACAGCATGAATTTTGCACCACAGCATTGGAAGGTGCATGGTTATCTATTCCATTTGAACCTTCAGGAGCCAACCTTCAAAAAAAAAAAAAAAAAAGATGTCTTACTTCAGTGAGACTAGTACAATTAAATAACTTCACATCAGAATTTTCAAAAGAAATAGTTACTGAATTCTTACCATTCAAGCAAATGGACAGATACAGAGAGTAATGAACAAAGTTATAGCATGCCTTTTTACATAAAAATCTAAATTATTTTCAGTTCTAAGTATATTCCATACTGACAAATAAATCTATACTGAAAAATACAACTATACTAAATCAAAATGAATTTAGTTCCTCAAAATAATGTTCAACTTATACATTTTAATTACTTAAGTCTAAGAATATTAATCTTTAAATGCTCTGAAAGTATCTTCAAAATGCTTGTGGAACATAAAAATCAATTTGAAATTACTGTAATTTCATTGAACACTGAAAAGTCCTCAAATGTTGATTGTAAATTATTTACTAAGCACTAAAATTATGAGCACATGATCAGAAAAAGCTAAACACTGTACTAGAGAGTTAGAATTTAAGGTATATAAATTCGCTGTAAATAAAAAAAAACTACAACTACAAAAATCAAACATTTTAAATCTTACTGGCAATTGATAGAGAGTGGGATGATACTGTGCAAGTGACCAGGAGAGTCTTTCCAAATACACAGGCCACTTTACCTGCTCTCCACAGAGCAGCTTCATTTTTTAAAAAAATATAAATCAGAACACGTCCCTTTCTTGCTTAAAATCCACTGTGCCTGGAATGAGATCTAGACTTTTGACCATAATCAACACAGCTTTTCAAAACCAACCCTCACCCTGTCTACACCTGTGGCCTATTCTCCAAGCTCCTTCCTGCTCACCTCACAGCAGGTACACTATTTTACTACATATAAAAGGCATGCTGAAATCTTCAAATGCTTATTAAAAATTATTATATGTGAGACAGTAAAGTCATAAAGACTGTAAGATTACTAAAAAATTTAATTGTTATATTCTGGAGTGAGAAAAATTTGTAGAGCATAAATTAACCAGAAATAAACTTGGGGTACTAGCATTGCCATTTCCTCTGCCTGAATGATCTTCTCTCAGAACTATGTATAAATGGTTCATTTTAGCATTTTAACTTCAGCTCCTCAGAGCTGAAGTTAAATGGCCCTTCCTCAGAGATGACTTCTGGATCTCTTTCTTTAAAATAGGATCCCTTCCATCCTGTCACCTTGTCCTATGTCAAAGACTTCATAGTTCTCATCATGGTCTCCCGATTAGCTAATTTATTTCCTCAGTTGTTCACTATCCATGACAATGAAAGTTCCGTGGGAACCAGCAATCTTGGCATTGGGACTAGTGTTTGGCGCCAAAAAGGCATTCGTAAGTACCTGATGAAGAAATGACATGCCCGTTTTCCTTGTCACCTGTGCATGTGGAGTGGGATTGTGTTGAGGAGGTGTGGACAGGTAAAGTTAAAGTCTGACAAAAGTTTGTGAGTGATTCTGATGTATACACCCCACCCTAGCTGCCTAGCAAGAAGCCTGGGTAAAGAGCTGACGGCAGTTCTCCTGGGCTGCAAAATGAATCTTTGATGCAAAATGTGTTACTATGCAACAAACAGGATTAGGTTTCAGACTAGCAGTGAGCCACGCTCTTTTAACCACCTAAAATTTCATTTCAAAATAGACATATAGACACAGATGAATATATTTTAATGAAACTAACTGTTCTACCCTTTCAGACCTCAATTTTGTCAATGTAAATTATAATATAGGCACTAAATATATTTATTTAAGCCAAGTATATATTCAAGTGCTCTATGAAAATCATTTAGTGGTAATTAAGGAGTAATGATATTAGTGACTGCAGATTAATAAAGGTGACTTTTGTCATATACTAGCATGCTTCTTCAAATGCAACAAGTCAATTTCACAGCAATATATTTCTATAATTTCAGGTGTTAATTCCATTATATATGATCTATTATAAGCTTTTATTCCAATTTATTTCAAACATGGAGTCTCTATAAATTTTCATCAAATATAAATGCAAGCAAGTTTTGAAATGGCAGGATGATTTCTGAGGAAAGACCACATCTTATGTTCTAGTGATCTTCAGGGAGCTGCAACTCTGACAGCAAGATCCCCATTTTCCCACACGATCTGATTCTATTCACTGGTAACTATGCCTAAACACAGATTTTAGAAACCCATTTGCAATAAGGAAGAATGAAGCACTGACACACACTACCACATGAGCAAATATCATGCTCAGTGAGACAAGCCAGACAAAAAGGGTCACATACAATAACAATGATACAAAATGTCCAAAACAGGAAAATCTTTTGAGATGGAAAGCAGACCAGCTGACTGCCAGGGGCTGGGAGGAGGCAGGAACTGGGAGAGAATGCTTGTGAGACAGAGTTTCATTTTGAGTGTGCTGAGAGTGTTCTCAAATCAGATAGTAAGGAAGGCTACACAACTCTGTGATTACAGTAAAAACCACTTAAGTGTACACTTTAACAGGGTAGATTTTATAGTATGTGCATTATATCTCGAAAGAACTGTTTTTTTTAAACTACTTTCTCAGGAATTCAATCAAAATGACATGTTTTAAATTTGATGGCAAACTCTAAGGTTAAAATTAAAAACTGCATATATAGGAAATGTTACATTACTTTGCCACCAACACTAAAATATGATAATCTACCTGGTCGTTGTCCTGGCTGACGGCTCTCCATTTTCATGTAAGGCATCACCATTTTGCTGTATTTCTACTGAATAACAAGAAAGAAAGAAACTGTGTTTTTACATATTTCCTGCTGATTTTTTCCCTAAATTTTAAAAACACACAGTTAGCTTACTGGTTGGAGGTGAGTTGCAGCTCGTTAGATTTTCCGGCTCAATCACCAATCCATCCAGCACAACCGTTAATTCTCCAGTTTGCACTATGCCATTCTTGTTTTCCAAGCAAAGTTTTAATTGTTCTTTCACTCTTTCCACTAGAAAAAAAAAATCCTAATTTAAAAGCTTCTGCCACATACAAAAATGTTTCAGAAATCAAAACTACGTATGAATAACGACTCTAACTTGGTACTTGTCTGCATGGGGAAGGAGATCCTTTCCATTTTTGTCAGTGGACCCCTCTGCTACAGCAGAGCTGCTTCCTCCCACACCTTCCTCAGCCCCCACCACATGCTTCCAGTAGCACTTTTAGTTGCCCCTTTGCAAAGCATAAACCTCAAGAGGCACAAATTTATCCAGATGACAAGTATAGCAATCACCTCAACAGGCTCTTCAGCCTAGGGTACCACAGGAGACCTGTGGTTGAGGCAAATTTCTGCATGAGTCAGACAGTTTGGTTACTAATTCTAGCTCTGCTACTTGTAGCTGCACTTTGAGTAAGTAGTCAAACTATTTTGAACTTCAATTTCCTCAGCATAAAATGGTGATAATAAGAGCATCAAACTCAAGGGACTGCCAGAGGTACAAATGCAACACCACACAAAATGCTCATACACATATCTGACACAGAAAGCACTCACCAAATGGTTAAGTCTGCGAAAACACTTTTCTCGTTTATATATAAGGCCAAATATCCCCTTCCTATTATTAAGATACCTAGTTCTTAAACTTAAGGTCATTTTGTTTCAACTTCTACAGAATGTAAACCATGTAATAATAAAAGAAAACCTTACAAAATACCTACCCCAAATATTTGTACCACCATAAACCTCATTTCCACTGCACATCACAAAAGCAACAATAAAAACAATTAGGGAAAGGAGGAGAAATACAAAAACAGGCATTTCAGCTTTATCTGGACTAATGATGTATAGGTGAAGAAAGCTATACTGACTCCACTTCTACTTCACTCTTGTTATCTCTCTCCAAAGTACCTGCACTTTGGAGAGTTAGCTTATTGTTCCTAATATATTTAGCTGCTTACATAGATTCTTAAAGAATAGACTTTCAAAATCCCTTTAGTGTAGCTCTCTCAGTGGTAAATAATCTCTAATTTTAATCTGTAATATTTGCATTCTCATCCTCCAGAGAGTTGATGGGCATGCGATTTCACACTGATAATGACCTTCTCTCAACACTTTGAAGATATTTCCCCACTATCTTCTCCTATAATGACTAATTCTGTATTTCTAGTTTATAAATCTTTGCAAATGCCTGTTTTTCCCTAGAGCTGCTTTTGCTGTCTTTGTGGTCAAGCACTGCACTAGGATGTGTCTACACACGACTTTTTCTTTATCATCTTTCTTGGGATAATACGAATCTGCAGATTCACATTTTTCATCAGTGTTCAAAAACTTACAGCCTTTATCTCTTAAATAACCTACTCTACTTCAACCTTCACTCCAGAAGTCAGGCAACAGTGGTCCCCAGGCGGAACTTTACAGAAAAGTTTGCCAGCCCCTGCTTATGGGGCTTGTTCTTGTAACTTACAATCATTGATGGAGAGTGCATTCTTGGACATTCATCTAAGAGTGAACTTTGCACTTGAGTACAGTCAGAGTCTATATCTAATTCTGCCAGTGGGTTGAGAGTACCTCCAAGTCCAGACTCAACTCCACTACCTGGCTGTCAGCCAAAAACTGAGAATCTTGAAAGCCATCAGCATCATCCGCAATTCTCACTCTAGTTTATAAGACTTTGTTTTGTTTTGGTTTCTTTTGGTGGGGCATAAGGAAGGCTTGAAGACCACCCCAGCCTCTGCAAAAATTATCAGTGCTATAAAAACTTGCTCTGTCCAGGACCTGACTACTGCTCTGCAGGCCAGGGAAGGGATGTTGACATCATCTGGTATCTAACAATTCTGACCGCGGAACACTGGAGTCTAACATTTTTGAATCATAAAATCGGGAGACTATCACATAAATAATTCCCATCTACACGTGTACATGTTGTGGGGGGGGGGGGTTCTATGCCATCTCAGACTTCATCCACTGGATAGGAAAAGTGCCTTGTGTGCAGGGGCTGTACTTGGGGAAGCAGCATGAACCAGCCTAACCAGCCCTAATGGGCTCCTACCACTCCTTACTCATTTCTTCCCATGGACTGAACACCAGAATTGGAGCAGGGAGAGGGGCGCAGGTCCCACCTCCCCCAACTGCAGTCTCCAATACAGCATAACAACTCTGTCCATCTCATTCAGTGATGCATCCTCAGTCTCTGACAGAACATAGGTGCTTAATGAACATGAAAACAAATTATAAAGATAGTGCTGTCCTTTGGGAACTCTAAGGCAGAAGCTACTTCTTTCCACCTCCTAGATATTCCTCTTCAGTTTTAACAGGACAGAACAATCAGAGTCTGAGGAGCCACGCATAAAACTAGACCATTTATCCTATAATCAAGAATTTGTCAAAAACATACATGCTTTCTCTCTTCACAGGAAACAAAAGGTCTTCAAAAACCTTTGTTTTAAAGGGATTTCACCCATTTAAAATAATTTAGCTCAGAGTCACATTCTGAACCTATTTTTTAAAAACTACCTGCATATTATATTACCTATTGCTGTGTAACAAATTATCCTAAAATTTATAGTCACTTAAAATAACAATAACCATATGTTATTGTTTATAATTTCTGTGTTCCAGGAACTTGGGAGAGGCTGATAATCTATACACAGAGCTGGCAAGTTGGTGCCAAAGCAGCTGAGAGACACCATAGTCTTCCCCATTTGGCTTCTCCATAGTGTCTTCACAATGATGCCTGTTTCCCGCTGAGTGAGGAACCCAGGAGACCCAGCCAGAAGCTGAACTATCTTCTGGGATCAAGCCTTGGAGCCCTGTGCCATCACTTCTGCCATATCCTACTGTCACAGAGGTCACACGAAAGAGTGACCAGAAGCAGGAGTGCTAGGGGCCATTTTGGAGGCTGGCCCACACACACATAAACATGATGATAACGGATTCAGAAACAAAACAAGTGAAGCAGTAGGCCCACAGATCCTGTAAGTCACAGATAGTTCCAAGAACAAATTAGGCTTTCTCACTCCAGATCTCCCCAGCATGTCACACTATGGGTCAGTGTGCTCCAACTCACAGATAAAATTAAGTTCCCATGTCTATCGGGTAACAAGACAAATTACAGAATTTATAAAAGAACTTAGAATAAAAACAAAGCAATAAATGTGCAAGAATAAAATAGGGAACTATTTAACATAGAATTGGAAAGGATTCTCTGAGCATGAAAACAATGGAAGATAAATTAACTTTTATGACAAAAATATTAAACTTCTAAAAATCAAAAATGAGGATAGAAAATCAAGAGGCAAATGATTAAGTGGGAGAAAAAGAGATTTGCTTTTATAGTGAGAAAAAAAGGAACAAACCAAAAGAGAAATGTGCAAAGAATAAGACAATCATGAATAGTGAAAGATAAATGAAAAATAAACATCTGACTTTATTAATACTGAAAAAATGCTTTGATTAAAAAAACATCATAATTTTTATCTGTTAGTGTTTCAAATATTAGTGTGGACACTCTCATATGCTATGTGTGAACAGATGAGGACAACTTTTCAGGAAGGACAGCCAGGCATAGCCAGAGGCTTACAACTGCCCATTCCCTTTGACCTAATAATTTCAGTCCTAAAAATCTTTCTAAAGGAGAGAAACACATTTATATCACTGAATATAAAAATATTGTTTGTTCTAAACCTTGGCTTTAAAATATCTTAGTTTGTGCTGACTGTAAGTAAATTTTTTAAAAGATAACTTTAGACTTAGTAAACTAAACAAATAACTAGTATCAGTTAAGTAAATAAGGCTAAACAAATATTTAAATAAAATTAAATTTGACTATGCTCTGTCCTCCTGTATAAAGGTCACATTTCTCTGCTGTTTCCCTACCATTCAATGTAACAGAGAAAGTTCAAGTTTAAGTGAGCTTAATGCATTTCAAAACGCTTTCCTTCACACAAACTAAGTTGGTTCTACTGCCACCATAAATCTCACTCACTGTAACCCAGTGTTTGAACTGCAGCCATCCCACTTGTCTCCAGAGTGTTTGAAGTGGCTCCCCATCAGTCTCAAAATTGAAATACAAAATGTAGCTCTGTATACACGCCAGCATAGAACTTGTCTACACTGCTCTTAAATCCTTCACCCATGAACAGAGTAACAAAGATTCTCTCCTTGACCTAGATCAAACCAGGCTCCTTTGAGCCCTCTTCTTAAACAGGCCTCCACTTGGTCCAGAAAGACTGCAAATTCCCAGCACAAATAATTAAGAGATGTGATCAAATACTAGTACAGTTTCCACCAGCTCCAGCTGTTAGCATCCCCATGGTGACCCTAGCCACACTAAAACCACCTGCTTGAGAAAGCCCAGGGCCGCCAAAGAACTGACTGCTTGTTCCTGGCCACACCCGTGATAGTTCCAAACACCCTTTCTTAGAGCTTTACTAGAAAGAGCTTGAGTACAAGGGTGAATGCCTCCTCTGTCCTGAGATGGACTTGTACCTCCTACAATTCAGATATCCTTCTCAAGGACCCAGAAGCCACTGCTCTGACATATTGTCATTAGGAAGGCCAGGGCCTCCATGTCCCCGTCACTGTGGGAGGACAAGAATTCTAACTAGGGGACAGAGCTGACTGAATTGCATTTACACGGATCAACCCTGTCTGAAGTTTCACTTCTCTGACTCAACCTAATTCGGCTTGCACCTCTCTACTCCCCCATTTTCCCTTTGAAATGTCCAGTAATTTCTGTACAAACTGAGGTTCAGTTCAAGCAGGACCCTCCTCTCTACTCCAATAGTAGAGTACTGATTAAAATCTGTCCTTACCAATTCAACTAGTGTGTCCAGCTTTGATTATCTTTGATAACAGGTGAATTTTTCCTTTGCATTAGGAAATAGTGCGGTTGAGAAGGAGAAATATATCATATTTCATAGACATCAGTGTCTAATGCTGGTGACATAAAGAAAACTAAAAATATCACACATACCTGCGGAGCCAATTAAAGAACTTCCATAATTCAGACTGGTGTTCACATGACCTGAACATACAACAAGGTTAACTGAGGCAGAGGTGAAGGCTTAAACCCACCAATGTTCTGAGACAATGTATTAGAGAGTTGTCTGAGCAAAGGCTCTGGATGAGGCCTATTCCTGAAGCAAGTGAAGGTGCAGGACAGAAGCTCACTGGGATTGAAACGAAAGGAGGGAGAATTTTATGTTGGGTCAGTTGTGGCCTATATTTAAGGGTATGGAAGACTATAGCAACTATATTACACCATGAAGGTTGAAGAGGTAAATATCTTCAAAAATGGAAGAAAACTTATTCAAATCAATTAATCCTCCACCCTTACCCCGGATATATCAGAAAAAGGGATATATGAAAATATGAATTTTTGAGGACAAAATGTCAGGGCCTTGATTACAGGAAGAAATTAGCCTCATACATTTGAAGAGGAACAATGACCTTGACAACTGCAAATACTTTTTTTATCCTCATCTGAGGACATGCTTATTGATATTAGAGAGGAAGGAAGGGAAGGGAAGAGAGGAAGAGAAACGTTGATGTGAGTGAGAAACATTGATTGGCTACCTCCTGCACATGCACCCCCAACTGGGGACCAAACCCCCAACCAACGTATGTGCCCTGACAGGAAATCATATCCACAACCTTTCAGTTTATGGGAAGACACTTCCAACCAACTGAGCCACACTGGCCAGGGCTGCAAATACATTTTGACATGGGAGACTGCTGGGTTCGTATCACAGTGGGGGTCGGGGGGTGATCAGGAACTGTACTCTTTTTTTCCCCTATGTTTCTTCCTAAGACTCAGTAAATGTTTATTTAATGAAGAAAAGTCCTTTATCTAAGAAAGTTAAAATACAATTAATTTTATAGGCTTCTAACTTTTCTCAAGTTATCAGAACATGTAACAGAGTATGCAACTTCTGGAAAGACAGAAAGCTTTGAACCAAGGATATCAAAAACATATCAAAACAACACATTTTTATTTTAACAAATCGTAAGTAATTAGAAATAAGAAGATAAGCTTTATAGGCTGTTAGCAAATGGAAAAATAAAGGTAAAGATCAACTCAGGTCTGATTAAAAGATTGCAGAAGTCAAAAGAATAAATCCTTAAATTGTATGAAAAAACTTTTAAGATATTAGGTAAAGGAAATAAGATTTATTGATTAATATATGCTATTTTTAAATAAAATCTTAAGAACTATTAAAAAAGAAATGTTTTGGGAAAAACTAGAAACATAATGGTAAACATCAAAACTTAAAAACAACTTTGGAGGCAACAAAGGAAGGAGTGACCGGCAAAATAGAGACCAAGCAAACAGATGATACAGATGTTATGCCCAGGAAAACAGACGACTGTGATTAAATAATATGAATATGGTACCTAAAGGAATAGCAACAACAAATGTCAAGAATCACAATGGGAAACTTAGAAATGTCTATGGTTAGAAATTTTCCTTAAAAAACCCACAGATTTCAAACTAGCAATCAAGAAAATGCACTAAGGACTTCCAGAATTGACCCTTACTAAAAAGCTAATCTGATACTGACTGTAAAAAATTAAAATTCTACAAAAGGAAGACGAAATAAGCAAGCAAAAGAAAGAAACACTTTAAAAAAGGAATAAATTTTGATTTTGAAACTCAAACATAATTTAAAAAGTCACAAGCTGCACAGGTCCAGTATGGTAGCCACTAGTACCCACATGTGGGTATTTACATTGAAATTAATTAAAAGAAATAAAATTTAAAATTAAGCTCCTTAGTTACATTAACCATATTTCAAATGCTCAGCTGTTCCATGTGGCTAGTGACTATCACACTGGACAGCACAGATATATAACACAGCCACCATCACAATGTTCTGTTGAACAGCTACTTCTACAGAACTATATTAATGAAGTTACCTTTTCATTCTGAAGACATCATAAAAATATATAAATTACATAAAAATCTAATACATCAGAAGAATGTGTAAATAAAATTCATGGCACAGGGATCACACTAAAATAAATTTAAGATTAGAAGTCAAGGTTCTGGTCAGGACAAGTGACAATGGAGGGCATGGTCTATTACTATACTGTCATTTTGGCACTTCCTTCTGGCCTCTTTATAAGATTCGTTGTATTTTATCTGTATTTAAGTGGTTCTAATAAAAATATCTGTCCCATAAAAGACAACTATCTAACAGAGAGCACCATTACTAATGAAAGAATGAGATAAGAGCTATTTTAGGTCAATACAACAACCATAAAAAATAGTTTAGGATGAGAGAAAGCTGGACCATTATCTACAGAAAAAGTTCCATCCCTATAACAGAAAAGATATTCAAAGTTTCTTCAGGTACAGAAAGTTATTACAATTTGTCTTATGTTTTTACTTGTGGAATTGTTTCTTATGTCCCCCACCTATTCCAAAAAGGATTTATCACGTTTACATAAATTTATGTTGAAAGATAAGGGTTTTAAAAAAGTTATATTCCAATAGCATTTAGGAGAAAAAATACTGAGTCCACCCCAGAGCCTGCATCACAGAATCACAGTCAAGACAAAGGCGGGGGTTGGGGGGACTGCTAGATAAGTCAAACAGCCAAATTCACCCATGATCAGAAAAATTAGTACCATGAAAAAACATGGGCAGCAAGAAAAGAAAATTAGCTTAGGTGTACTTTTTATATCTTCCCCATAATTCCATGTATATTAAAGAATTAAATATAAAACACACTAAATACATGCATAATTATTTAAATTACTAGAAGTTGACAGGGAAGCACACTCAGAAGGTAATGAGAAGATGAGCTGGACAAAGCAGGCCAAGTACCGAGCTATAAGCAAGAAATTAGACAGAGTTAACACTCTACAAGGTGTGGAAACCAGGAGCGGGACTTGATCTTCTAGCCAAGTGGTTTTCAAACCAATTTGAGAAACAGGGTTCCACAGAAATTAATTCAAGGACTGTTGGAGGTACAAGAGCAAGGGCATGTGAGTGTGTGCATACTTGTGCTTGTACAGGCAGATTCCATTGTAAGACTTTATCTGAACTTATTCAAACCTTAAGCTGTTGATAGTGGAAAGCACTGAAAAACAGAGCTGAATAAAATAGTCTCTACTTTCAAACTTCTTATGAATTTCATTGTCTATGATTCACAGTTTTATAAATGTAATCTTCAATTCCTGTAACAACAGTCCCTACTATGACCACACCATGTCCCTGAATCCAAAAATTACCCTAGAATATCATGGCCCCACAAATATTTCCACTGGTTCCAGTTACCTCTTCCATATTGTAATCTGCCTCTGAGGACTTTATCCTGTTTTATTCATTCATAGCACAAATGTTTTTAACTGTCATGCCAGAAACAACACTGGAACTCTGTAGGCACATTAGATCCAGGTGCTGTTCTCTATCTTACTCCCTCTCAGGACGTTCCTCTCTAATTTCATCCCTAAAAGCCTATACTCTCTATTCTCTGTATAGAGGCTCAGATATCTGTATAGTGGAACAGATAGAGTGCAGTACACCCCTGCACTGGAGCCCTCAGTACATGCAGACTCTATTCATGCAAGTAACAACTAATTATCAAACATTTTCTGAATATAACATCTCAAAAACATAATACCTTTTTATTAATTACTTGTCCCCCAGACCAGTGAGTGAATTTTCATTTGACAGTGGGGACAGATGAATATAAAAACACTAGCTGTTATATTTTTGTTGGTTTGCTTCTTTTTAAAAATAAATCCCACAATACCCTTCAAACTGAACTAGAGCTCACTCAACTGATGCCTAACTAAAACTCGAGTCAAGTGCTAAGAGGCTGAATGAAAGGAAGCCAAGAATGTGATCAATTAAGTGTATTTTTAAATTCTATGAGGCTGTCTAGTGTCATATTAGTTTTGATTAGAAGTAATATAAAACTAATATGACACTAATCAAAACTGAGCACCTAGGAATCAGAAACACTGTGGTTGTAGTCATAACTCTGTAAGTACTTATATTCTTGAGCAAGTCATGAATGACCGGCATCATTTTGTAAATCTGTAGGATGGAGGAGGGTATGGTAAATATTTCTTGTTTCACAAAATACTGCAATTACAGACAATAACTGATGTTCTCTTTGATAAATACAAAACTATACTTTTGCTTTTGGGCTTCAGGATACTTTCAAAGTGTGTAACATAAATTTTAAACAAACGTTAGAATAAAAACTTACACTTTCTGTTGTGTACTAACAGAACCTGTTTCAGATCTACTGTTGCTCTTCCTAATAAAGCATCTGCTTTCAAAGTGTGATGACTCCAAACTCGAAATTCCAATGTGGTCTGTGGGGTCACATTTCTGTAGGGGTGAAATTATAACAAAAATATAGAAGAAGGATATACCATTATTCTAAATGCTAATTCCTATTAGTTCCTTTACTTCAATTATTTTTTTAAAGCCATGAGTTGGTTTATTTGAGGAAAAATATTGTATGAAACAGTAAACTATTTGAATTATAAAAACAGTACATAAGGACTGTAATAGCTGGGTAAGAATTTTTGTAGTTAGCAAACCAAAACACCAGCAATACATCAATGGTACGAGATTTCACAATAACTATTTCTATTAGAAAAAATTTCTAAAGATTTAAGACAATTGATGGAATTGGTTATAATACACAAATTTATAACACTGTATTTCAGAAATACCCAAATTAAGAATAATTGATATTCTGCCCTATTTATTTTTATAAGACAGGAAGAGAAAATATGGCTACCCAGAAATAATTTACTTTATAAAGCAACAGCAGGGATTATTATGCCACCTCTGTCAAGGAAATGAAATTAACTGACTTTTTCATACTTTATATTGTCTATTCATATAAAGTCATGGAAAATGTCAGTCATTACTATGAAGCTTTCCTACAAAATAATAGTAATTTTTAAAAAGTTACAAGAAGCACACTTTCTTTTGAAGATTTTGAATCCTTTTTATGAAGTACTTACACAGTTAGTTGTTCATCCCATTTTGGATTAGAAGAACTGCTGGATTTTGCTGTTTTCTTAATTTCTCCATCTACAACTACTTCTGTATATATTGCTGTTCCAAACCAGTTCTTTTTTCTTTTTAGTTTGGCACTAGAAACTAACAGAAACATGATAATCACTAGTGAACATATGTAGCCAGAAAGCAGTATTTGTACTAACAAATCAATAAAAATGGAACTGTGCAGCCTGTGCAACTCAAGCTCTTTTCATGGACAAAATGAAAATAAAACACTACTACAAGAATATAATAACGCCTGAGAACCATTTGAATTAAAATTCAAAAACATTTTTGATGCCCTGGCTGATGTGGCTCAGTGGATTGAGTGCCAGCCTGCAAACTAAAGGGTCACCAGCTCGATTCCCAGTCAGGGCACATGCCTGGGTTGTGGGCCGGGTTCCCAGTAGGGAGCACACGCATGAGGGGCAACCACACATTGATGTTTCTCTCCCTTGCTTTCTCCCTCCCTTCCCCTTTCTCTAAAATTAAATAAAATCTTAAAAAAAAACACCAAAACATTTTTTGAATTTTAATTCAAAAAATTCAAAAACACTGTTATTGAAATATAATTCACATACCATATAGTTCACTCATTTTGACTATACAATTCAATGGTGCTTGTTCAACCACCACCACAGTCATTTTTAAAAATAGTCACCACCCCCAAAAGACACCCCATACCGACAATGGTCACCCCCCTCTTTCCTTTAAACACCTCCCAACTTCCCCTCTCTCAGCTCTAGGGAACTACAGTTGACCCTTAAACAATACAAGTTTAAATTGGGTAGGGCTACTTATATGTTATTTTGTTTTCAATAAACACATACAGCATTGTAAATATATTTTCTCTTCCTTATATTCTTAATTTTCTTTAGCTCATTATTGCAAGAATACAGTATATAATACAAATAATATATAAAATATGTTTTAATCAACTGTTATCAGTAAGGTACTGGTCTACAGTCAACTATTAGTAGTTAAGTTTTTGGGGAGTCAAAAGTTATACTTAGATTTTCAGCTATGCAGGGGATCAGTGCTCACAATCCTCACATTGTTCAAGGATCAACTGTAGTAACCTACTTTCTTTTAATAGTTGTTTAATCTTTAATTACAGTTGACATACAATATTATATTAGTTTAGGGTATAAGACATAGTGATTACATATTTACATAACTTACAAAGTAATCACCTGGTAGTCTAGTACTCATCTGAACCATACATACTTATTACAATATTATTGACTATATTCCCTATATACTATATTTTACATCCCCATGACTATTTTTGTAACTGTCAATTTGCATATCTTAATCTCTTCCCCTTTTTCACCCAGTCTCCAATGCTCCTGTCTTCTGGCAACCATCAAAATGTTCTTTTTATCTATGAGTTTGTTCCTATTTTGCTTGTTCATTTGTTTTTAAGATTCCACGTATCAGTGAAATCACATGGCTTTTGTCTTTCTCTGACCCATTTTACTTAGCATAATACCCTCTAGACCCATTCATGTTATTGCAGATGGCAAGATATCATTCCTTTTTATATGAGTCTTATTCCATTGTACATATGTACCACCAAGGGACACTTAGATTGCTTCCACATCTTGGCTACTGTAAAAGCTGCAATGAACCTAAGGGGGCATATATCTTTTTGAATTAGTGTTCTGGTAAATACCCTGAAGTGCACTTGCTGGGTCCTTCTTTGTCTCATGTTATAACCTTTGTTTTAAAGTCTATTTTGTCTGATGTGAGCATTACTACCCAGCTTTTTTTCCCCCCCATTTCCCTTTGCATTAAATACCTTTTCTCATCTCTTTACTTTGAGTCTACGTGTGCCTCTTGATCTGAAGTGGGTCTCTTGCAGGCAGCATATGTAAGGGTCTTGTTTTTTTATCCATTCTGCTTCCCTATGTCTTTTTACTGGAACATTCAATCTATTTACATTTAAAGTAATTATTGATTGGTATGTAGTTATTACCATTTTATTATTGATATTCCTATTCCTCCTCGCTCTCCCCCTCCTCTTGTAATACTGGTTTGGAGGTGGTGATCTCCTTCAGCTTTTTCTTATCTGGGAAGCTATTTATCTCTCCTTTGATTCTAAATGATAGCTTTCCTGAGTAGAGTAATCTTGGTTATGGGCCCTTGCTTTTCATCACTTTGACTATTCTGTGCCAATTCCCTCTGGCCTGCAAAATTTCTGTTGAGAAATCAGCTGACAGTCTATGGGTGCTCCCTTATAGGTAAATAACTGTTCTTCTTGCTGCCTTTAAGATTCTACATCTTTAACCTTTGCCATTTCAATTATGGTGTGTTTTGGTGTGGGCCTCTTTAAGTTCATGTCATTTGGGATTTGCTGTACTTCTGGACGTGTATGTTTATTTCCTTCACCAGGTTAGGGAAGTTTTCAGTCAGTATTTCTTCAAATAGGTTCTCAATCCCTTGCTCTCTTTCTGGTACCCCTATGATGCAAATATTGTTACACTTGATGTTGTCCCAGAGGTTCCTTGAACTATCCTCATTTTTTTCGATTCTTATTTTTGCTCTTCTGATTGGGTGTTTCTGCAGTCTTGATATTTGCACAAAGTAAGGATTTGTCTTTTGCTTTGTAAGACCAAAAGCACATTCTAGCTCTTCACTGAAAACTAGAAACAACTATCCTCACGGTAAAGAGTGCCATGGCATTACACAGCATCTCCTTCTTATACTACCTGACTCCTACCTCCTGAATCAAATATTATTTTTAATAGTCTAGATATAGAGCTTATTATACACACTATTCCACACCCTGCTCTTTCACTCAACAATACTATCTTAGAACTTGGCTCCTACTGGTATACACATTCATTTCATTGTCTACCTAGAATTCCACTGCCAGTCTTTCGCTATTAGGATCTCGTGTGTGTGCATTTATAAACAAATTTATATATAATATTAAAAACTGTCTCTACATACACATATAATATATATTACAAACTCTATACATATTACTCATAGGAAATTATCATGCAGATACTTACATTGTTTATATACAAATATAAACAGTAATTAACCATATAAATTATATATTGTTTATAATTATTAATATGATACAATACCTTATAAATTATAAACTACTATTCATATATAAACAATATCAATATCTGCAAAATAAATTTCTACAAGCAAAATTGCTGGCTTAATGACTACTCCTCCTTGAATCATGTATTCCAACTAGCAAGAATGAATGGTCAGAAGTCCCCAGTTATAACCAAGTATTTTTAATGTTCTTGTAAATGCTGTTCCCTTTCCCTCTAACACTCTCTGCTGCCAATCTAATTGGAGATGAATTCCTATTATTTCTGAAGGAATTCAAGTGTTACCATCTGTAAGTCTTTCTCTTACATATGCTGTACATCCATAAGCCACCTGCAATCCCAAGCAGACCTAAGAAACCTTCTTCTAGGTTCTCACTGCATCCAGTTAATGATCACTAGGCATGGTAACTCTCCACACAAAAACAAACCTGTCCCACCACTATATGTTCCTGGAGAACAAGCGCCTATATTTTCATATACGTAATTCCACTTACCAAATATTTGCACAATAACTGAATAGATAATATTTGCCCAATGACAGAATGGATGGCTAAATGGATGAAAGAAGGCCTTCAGCTTCCTTCCCCATCCTAAAAATCATTTAAGGACCAACTCAATGACACTAATCCCAGAACCCAAATTCTCCCATCAAAGAGAACAGATATATCTTTTCCACACCCTGCACAGGTTCTAAAAATGCTCTACTGAACAAATAAAATACCTTTAGAGGGTATTACCATTGGCCCTGCTACAACAAATATACTACAGTATGAATCTAAAAGAAAGTTTCATCTGGGAACCACTATTTTAAGTTATGAAAATAACTTACCAGTTACCTGTAACTGTAACCTTCCACTGTGGTTATTACTAGTATCAGTCCTTGGTGAAGCAGTGGCCATGTCCCAAAATTCAGCTTAAACCTATAAAAAATTCAATTTATTCATGTGTTAAACAAGAGATTATAATTCTCAATATGATTAAAACTTGTTGAATCAATTAAGAAACCACACCTGATTCAATATTTTCAACCCATCACATGCCAATGTATTCAGCGGTCCACCATTTTAAATTAAGACTTAGTACCACGAGCATTACAGACAAATATGGCCAATAAGCCACATATGAGTCAATCTGAGCAAAGAATATAGGGTGATGTGTTGATTTCTCTATTTATGGTATATTGTAATATTTATGTATGTATGAGGGAGGACCCCCCCCAAAAAAAACCAGAATTACCTTCCAGAGGGCAGGCCACTTATAGTATTGTCTTCCCCAACTAGGTGAGTGGTCTAGGAACCCATGTGCATCAGTGTACCAACTGGTGGTGTTGTGAGAGGCTACATTCAGCTTCAGTGCCTTTTTTTTTTTTGGAAGACTCTTTCAACACATTTGCCTCTTTCATGATGGGTGATTTATGAGCCCATCGGCCCACACCATGCAAATGTTCAGCAGTTTTGGAAAAACCAACATGACCTCCATGTCCCACCCTCCCTATTCACCCAATCTTGCCCTCAGAGACTTTTTATTTTTCCCTGATGAAAAGTCCTCAAAGGGAAACATTCTGCCAATGTGGAAGAGGTGAAAGAGAAAACGACAGAAGCGCTAAAAGGCATCAAAATCAATGCGTTCAAAAACTGTTTTGAGCAGTGGACAAAATGTCTCCACAGGTGTACTGCATCAATTGAGGGTACTTTGAAGATGACTGAAGTTTAAACATGTAAGAAGAAAATTCATGATTTTGTATAAATAAATTCTGGTTTTTGGGTCCCTCTTTATACGTATAATCTGAACCACCCAAGTAGCTTGCCCTTTCACCCTTTAATATTTAGTGTATTTCCTAAGAATAAAAATATTCTTTTAAATAACAACAGTATAATGATCAAATTAAGAAATTTAGTATATTACTATTACCTAAAATATGTTCTATTTTATCAACTCTCCTAGCAAAGCCTTTTATCATTAATTTTTAAACATAGGGTCTAGTTAGGGTTTAAATGCTGCATCAATTGTCATGTCCCCAGCAAATCTAGCATGTTTCTTTTTATAGATGATTTTTTTCAAGTTCTGCTTCATTCCTCTGCCCCAATTTTTATTTTTTAAATAAAATACAAAACAAAGCTACTTCATCTTTCTTCTGCATAACAAATACTTTAAGGCTAAACTTCTATCTACCCTAACCTACTGAAGATAAAGCAGAACATTCAGGGCAAGATTGAGAAATATTAATATCTTGTTTTTCCCTGTTTGTAGTCTTTTCTATGGTCCATTTAGAGCCTTTTCCAAATTCAGGGAGCCAATACTCTAAAATCATTATACTCTTTTCACTTATCCATGTTTGCACATATTATATATCTGTGTGCACGAGTATGTGCTTGTGTGTGTGAAAAGACAAATGAGAGAGCTGCTCACTATTTGAATAACTGATTTAATTAACATATAGTCTAGTCACAGGTTCTGGAACTTCATTCAGGCCCACTCATCCTACAGATCAGCAAATGGGATCCAGGGTGACATCTACCTGCAGGTACACCAGCTGCCTTATTCATATGAGCAAACCAAGGGAAATGGAAGCCTTGGAAAATCAATGAACATGAAAAAAAGCAATGGATATTGAGGGGTTTCAATTTGTAGTAATCTGGTATATACAGGGTCTGGCAGAAGTGAACGCCTGCTTGAATGGTTGGTAGGATAATAATATGGGTATAGTAATTTATAGTTTTAATTCAAATATTTCACCTGAAGTATCATACGGTATGCTTGAGTAGGATTTTGTTGTTATAGAATTACATGCTTATCATTTTATAATAAAAGATTTTGTAATAAAAAAAAGGGGCACTACTTGTGCCAGACCCTGTTGATATTTTGAAAGGTCTTCCTGCCTTAATACAAACAGATCCTGGATAAATTAAAACTACTGTATTTTTCAAACACTGTTATCTTCCCAAGAAATTATCAAGGCTACTCTCACTCATATAATGGTAGCCAAAAAAAAAAACCCACACAACAAAATTTTTAAAAAGTGAGTTGAAGTATCAGAGCTAATGGGTAACAATAAGCAAAAAAAAAAAAGTTTTTTAATTTGAGTGTTGTCCTGGATGTGCATGCTGCTAGTAGCACTGAGATCAGGAGACAGTGCTCCGTCCTGCTGTAGGGTGAGGGCTCAGGTCAGCAGGAACTCTACCATATAGCAGAAGTACAGGCACATACTCTCAGGAAAGCACTCTAATTTAAGCCACTGAGGTTATCCAAGATGAAGAGAAACCAATTATGAGCCTATAATATACAGCAAGGGTCCCCAAACCCCAGGCCAAAGACCTGTACTGGTCCATGGCATGTTAGGTATGGGGCCGCACAGCAGGAGGTGAGCAGCAGGTGAGCCTACAAAGCCTCGCTCATATGACCACCTGAGCTCCACCCCTGCTGCCACCACCACCCTCGCATCCCTCTCCCCTCCGCTGACTGTGGAAGAATTCTCTTCCGTGAACCTGGTCCCTGGTGACAAAAAGGTTGGGGACCACTGATATACAAGACAAAACTTAAAGGAAACAAGCCATCATGAGTGAGTCAGCAGAAATAAAAAATAGTTTCCAACACTACAAGGACTTTAAATATGATTACCCAATATAAACTTTTAAAAATTAGTTCAAGCAATAAAAGATAAAACATGGTCAAGCAAAAAGAGACTATGAAAATGGCATTGCATTTCGAAAAGAAAATAGAATTTACTCTTTATTTTAGAATAGTTTCAGATTTACAGAAAAATTGTGAAGATAGTAGACTTCTCATAAGCTCCACACTTAAGTTTCCTGGATTATTACACCCTAAAGTAGTATCCTGAATTTGTCTTAATTAATAAACCAATATCAACATATGAATAACTAAAGTCCATCATTTATTCAGTTTAAACAAAACTTGAGAATCAGTTAACTTGAATATAAATCTGAAAAAATTATTTAAAAGGAGTGCTGAAATAAATAGAAAATGCCAAAGAGAGGCTAAAAGACATGAAGAATAAAATGAGCTCTGACATATATTATTTACTCATAGCCCCAGAAAATGCAGAAAGAGTAAGTCAAACTAAGAGAAAATGGCTTAGCTTTCTAGAACCAGTGACAGACATTTATCCACAATTCTAAGAAGCACAACATGTATAAAAGAGGCTGGAGAAACAAAGAAATTCACACCCAGGACACACAGCACTGAAACCATAGGACACCAAAGCAGAGACAATGTTAAAAGCACCCAGAGAAAGGAAGTGAAATAAGAGCAGAGTCTCATCAGGGACAGTAAACACAGACTGTGGGACAAGCACCTACGAAGGACTAACACAAAATGGTTCTACCACCAAACTCTGGGGAACACAGAAGGCATTAAGACGTTGCCAGATAAACCAAAAGTGAAGACATTTACTTCATGACAATCTAAGAGATGTTTCATAAAAGAGTAAAATTTGTACAGGAGGAAGATCGGAGAGGCAAGGAGAGACTGGCAGCATACAAGTAAATCTAAATAAATATTGTCTGAATTAAGTAACTGTAACCAATCTTGTTATGATATTTAAACAAAAATAGTTTACATTATTAAAAACAAAGGAACAGTAGCATACAGTAAAGGAAGGACAGGGAGAGAGGACAGGAGTTAAGGTGTAAATCCTGCATTGTTCAGCAGATGGATTATGACCCATTCAATTTTAGACTATGCAGCATTGTCAGAAGGGCAATCATAAAAGAAGAGCAACAAGAGGGAATAATCTTCAAACTAGTAGGACAGAAAAGACAGTAAGAAATCACCTCAATTAAAAAAAAAAGGCTAGAAAAAAATAAATAACCAGGATATCAGAAAACACAAAGTAAGAGAGTCCAAATAGAGAAATAATCAGAACAAATATATATGGATAAATTCAAGGGGTAAGAGACATGTACAAAATAAGAATACAGATAGAATGAAGCAAAAATATGAAAAGGGACATACCAGGCAGATAAAAATTTTGTAAAAAGCTAGGTTTAGTTATAACAGTAAATAGAATTATTAAGAACAAAGGGAATGATACAAGGCTCAATTCAGTAACTAGACACAAAACTCTAAATCTTCATGCTTAAGAAAGACTGACTTTGTGATCTGTCCCTGCCCACATGCTCCAACATATAGCAGACTCAGCAAAAAAGACAACAAAGACGACTATGTTCATAAAAGACACCCAGCTGAGGACGGCCATAGTGGTAGAGGAAGCATCTATGTGCCAAACCAATCAGTTGGACGGATACAAGATTACCTGGAAGATGTTTTAACCAGCTAGCACATTAACAGCAACATGCGTAAGGCAGCTCCAACTGCCCATTGCATCCTGCCCACTGCTCCATGGGCTGCGTGGGAGCCCAGTGATTGACTGGAATTGTCTTCTCAAATTGCTACCCTACATGATGCTTCTAGGGAAACCAACTTGTGATGTGACATAAGTCTCCACCAAGGAATTATCTGGAGGATTAAGTATCAGTGCAGTGCGTTACCATGTGAACCAAATACTCCAGAGAACGTGAAAGGTTCCAATTATGCTGAGTTTGAGATCTGGATTCCCTGCTTAGTGTCCTGAGCTTCATGAAGAGTCTCTAGGTAACAGAATTCCCATGGATATGGCTGACCAAGCACAAGATAAAGACAGGAATAACTGTTCTTTCGACTGAGAAAGAAATCAGGATTCTGACAAAACAGACAGACTGGAGGAATTGTATGGCCACAGACAGCTCTGATAAGTATGTCCCCAGGAAAGATGACAACAGCTTTGAAGGTAGATATGGCAATGGTTATAGGGGCCAAGACTGCTGTGATGACTAAGGCTGCAGAGGCTATGGTAGGAGTGATGACTTCAGGACACACAGTGACAGATGTGCCCATGATACTGGTACTATGGGGGTGATTACAG